TATACTACATTTTCAGATTTGCATTTACCCCGATTGGACAATGGTCTTTATTCCTACAATTGCAGGTAGGGTTACTAATTTTCCCAATTCACAGGCCCCTTTATGTAAACACATTTTTTTTTTTTCTTCATCCATCCCTCTCCACCACCCTTTCCCTTTTTTTTTTTTTTTTCCCCTTCCTATCCGATTGTTGTCTGTGGTGTGTATATGTCACCCTGAAATGTATCTTTATGTATTAGACATCCGTCGACTTTCTTTCTCTACTCTTTTAAATCCACCCCACCCACATCTCCAAAAATTCTCTCTGTCACTCATCCTCATACTTACACTTTCTCTAAATTCTGTTTTGATTTCGGAGTTGTTTTTTCTGTTTTCATTTTTGAATTTGTAGGTCTGATGATTTGGACCGTATTCGATTCAATGGAATAAATTATGACCATGGAATATTAGTGTTTAAGCCTTTTTTATATATATATATATATATATATATATATATATATATATATATATATATATATATATATATATATATATATATATATATATACATATATATATATATATAATATATAGTGTATTGGCAGGAGATCACTATTTAAATATATATTATTAAATATAAAAGACAATGAATGTCTTATGTCCGATCATAAGCCATTCTAATGTTCGAATGTTTGCTTTAATTTTTGGTGAAAATAAAGACAAAAATTGTCCAACATTTGGATATTTTTTTATTAAGTTGGTCCAAAGCTTTCGGCTCACATGAGCCATCTTCAGAGTGGTTATACAGGCATGAAACAAAGATGTCCAATGTTGCATAGCAATCTTCTATGTCAAAATAACAAAATACCATCTTTGATAATATATGTTTAAATATGTGTGTATAGCATGAAAAAATAAATTTACTTTGAAACCAAGAATTTTGTTTAATCTTCATCAGGAACATATTGTGCTTATTTTACTATGAGGTTTAGTCTGTACAAGACCCGAGAGCAACTCTAGGTAGAGTGTTATGGAATAAGAGGCACAATTTATGTGTATAGGTAGGGAAGATAACAGTTAACAGTTGAACAGGTTAAGATTGTAGTGATCAGGAAAACATCCTCTTGGGAGTCAGTTCCACAGAACCTTGGTTCACAAGGAAGAAGATGCTTGAGTTGAACTTACTTCTCACCGATGGCATATGGAGGAAATGAGGGTGATTCACTACAATGGGTGTGGCATGGTGAGCATGTTCCATGAAAATAGCAATAGAGCAGTGTGTGAAAGGAGTTGTAGGATGAAAAATTCTTTGTCACCCATGGAGAAGCTGTTGAACTCTGTCGAGCATGAGAAGTGAGGACTGGGCAGTTCCAGGTACTTAGTGGGGTGGTACAGCGAACTGACCATTATTTACTGCATCTTTAGCAATGGATCATATACAGGAGTTCTACTTGAGGTCTAGGTTGAGTTTGAGGCCCAATAGTCACGCAAGCATGGATCCTCCCTGTACAAACAATAATTTTCAAATGTGGCACACTTGCAGATCTATAGTGGCCAGACTTAGACATACAAACGTGTGTGTGTGTGTGTGTGTGTGTATATAAACAGGATATCATCTTTGATGGTGAATATCTTTGTTGAAATGTCCATATAATCACTCTTCTGATGATGGCTCATGTGAGTCAAAAGCTTAGATTGAGAAACAGCATAATAAAAAAAAATATCCAAATGTTGGATAATTTTTGTCTTTATTTACTCCCAAAATTAAAGCAACTATATGAAGCTTAGAATGGCTCATAATCAAACATGACAGACATTCGTTGTCTGTTATATTTAACAATATATGTTTGAATAATGATCTGCTGCCCCAATATATATATATATATATATATATATATATAAAATAGCAATTGGTATGGATTATTCCAAAGAAGACTTTTCAGTCTACTTGAGAGCTAAATGTATGATACAGTGGGATACAAATGCTGTTGGTCTGATGAGATGAATATGCTTATATTCATCGAAAAAAATTTAATACTGACTATAGATTTTTATGATTTTTCCCTAATTATTCTTTTTATATATATATATATATATATATATATATATATATATATATATATATATTTTTTTGAATAAAAGACAGACCACGTTAAAATTCCATGTAATAAGCTATTTCACCATAACCCCTTTAACAGGGTTCTGGATCATCAGACTTTACTTCCAAAAGCTGAAATGGAAAATGAAAAAAAATTCACACGTTTTTTACGGACCTCATCAAGTATACATAAAGTTGAGGAAGTGAGGTGGGAGAGAGGATATGAGTGTGTCATATGTATCATTTTAGTTTCCCTTTTAACCCCAGTGTGTCCGGCTGGATGTTGCTCAAATTTAATCGTCTAAATCTCTAGATAAAGGTGGTTTACAAATCATTCTTCTCCATCTACAAACAATAAGTTAAGTTAGTTTTATTTTTAAAATCAGTATCACCTCCTGCAAGGCAGTAAAGCCACTAAGACACAAGGGGTTACAGATTGTGGAAGAATTAGGAACAGAAACATTAATAATAACTTGAAAGAGAGTAATCAGGAGGACAGTAGATAGTGATTGACATTGCATTTAAATTTTTGCAGATTAATGTTGGTTGGATTGGAAAGCATGGAATTGGAAGGGAGTTCCATAAGCAAGAAGTGCGAGAAAAAAAAAAAAAAAAAAAATGAATTCAATTAACTTACACTGGAATGAACTGTTGTGGCAGGTGAAGACTTCAGAGGAAGATCTTTTTTAGTCTTTCTGGAAGCCAATCGTAAAACACCACTGCTGACTTTTTGAAGTTTCTACAGAGAAAAACAAAAATAACGCAATATTAGAAAGCTGGTAAAATCATGAAAAATAGTAAAATCTGACTATGGTACTTTATTGATTTTCTGGATTTTGATTTTCCAAATATGAAATGAAGAGAAATATTGAAATCATTCAAACATTTTTCAATTATCCTAACACTAGCAGTAGAGCCCAGCGTTGCCCGGGGATGTAACAGTAAGAGATAGATCAAGTATCGACCATCATGAAGACTGAAAAAACAAAATTGAAGATCATTGTTTAAGGTTGATAGACACGCATGTCTTAATTATTTTTTTTTTTTTTTTACGAATTAGTCAAACCCAAACTCAAACAAAAACATTGTTTTCAATCGTTATGTGTCTACCGATTGAATAGAATTTTATTATAAACAATTGTCTTGTAAATGGAATTTTTAAAGCATTCTGAATGTAAAAATAAAGAAAAAAAGTGTGCAAGACAATAAAAACAGTACCTGCCAAAAAAAAAGTGAAGTTTTTATTTGAAATCGGTTGAAAAATGTAGGAAATCCGATCCCATATATAAAACTAACACACACACACACACACACACACACACACACAACCTGGGTTTTATAATAAGTATAACTAGATATGAGTTGTCCCCCTTTCATTCTGGTGACAGAATCATGTCTTAAGTGTTTTCAAATTGATTCGTGCAAAAATAATTGTGTTTTTCCAATTTTGGGCGCTGTCAGTACCACCGCAAGGTAATTTTACGTGGTCCTGTGAAGTTTTGTTGAAATCGGTTGAAAAATATAAGAAATCCGATCCAATATATAAACGTACAGACACACACACACACAATCTGCGTTTTATAATAAGTAAGATTTCATCTCTTAAAAGCACTTTGAGAATTTGGAAACCTGTACTCAACGGTATCTGTCTATATTTCTGAGATGACTTATGTACACTATTTACATTATTCTGACTATTGTTCTAATCTTTGTCGCCATATTTATTACAATGTTTCAGCTGTTGTACACTCCAGCCTTCTTCAAGTGGTTGGAATGTCGAACTGAACCCTTTATTTCACTCACTGGGGTAGACTGTTCTAGTTCCACATGCCATGTCTAATGGATATCAGTTATCCCCTGTTAATTTCCCTCTCCAAGTTCTCTACCACCATAACCAGGTATTGAACTCACACTCTTTGGGTCCTGTCACTGGATCTAACAAACACCTTTATCCACTGTGTCATGTGTCCTTGAGGATAAAGGCGTTGGTTAGATCCAGTGACAGGACCCAAAGAGTGTGAGTTCAATACGCGGTTAAGGCAGTGGAGAACTTTCAGAGGGAAATTAAAGATAACTGGTAACTGATATCCATTCTAAAATGGCAACCTAGAACAGTCTACCCCAGTGAGCAAAATAAAGGGTTCAGTTCGACATTCCAACCACCTGAAGAAGGCCAGAGCGTACAATTGGTGAAACGTTGTAATAAACATGGCAACAAAGATGAGGACAATTGTCTGAATAATGTAAATACCATACTCAACACTTGATAGAAATCAATTAATTCTTGCCAATTTCTTCATTTTTCACATGATGAACATACATTTGAATTATGACAGCTTGGTCCGCCGGAGATTATGATTTAAACAACTCTCAAGGTATTTCTGAACTTATAACATTGCCAGAAAATGTTGAAGAGGATGGTGATGATAATGATGTTGGTCATGTTAAAGTTCATCAGCCCTAATGCTTAATTTCAAGCACTAAATGGCAATGATTATATTTGATAAATTCTTGTTACTTTCCTCATTCTCATAAAGAACACAATTCTCAGTAATCGGGGTGTTCTTCTTTTTGATCTTTATGTGTCATGTCTCCTCAAGACATAGATGAGGTAATGGAATAACCAGTCACCCTCATGAATGATTACACTATAGGTAGTAAGTACCTATAAAGTCAACTGTCTATGAGAGACTTGAGGAAGAGTGAGAAAGAGAAGATGCAAGCACATCTGACCTTCCAATTAGTGGCACTTACTACTAAATTGACCTGTTGTGTATAACTGTACCTTATTTCATATTGTACTGGTTATGTACAATAAACCTTTCTTCTATTATTCATCTAGTGTTAAGTATTTATTCCCTTAGCACGGAATATAACAAAAAAAAAAAAACAAACCCCAAAATAAAAAATACAAGAATTTTTTTCTCTTTCTTTTTCTCCTCCATATCTCATTCTCTGGTGAAGCTTTTATAGAAGCGAAACATTTTAGATTAATAAATGTTTCCGATTGTTCCTTAACATTATATATATATATATATATATATATATATATATATAAAAGAAAAATACAGAAAAAACAAACAAAAATTTTAACATGCAATTATGCTGTATTAATGTTAATATAAAGTCGACGTTTGACGTTTCGGTCTATTTAAGACCATCTTCATGGACATTTTCATTTAAACATAATTAACATTAGAACATATAAAAATTTAACACAAAAGACGATGGACATAAGAGCACAACTAATCCAAACAGATAACTGAAATTTTATACAAGATCAGCGTTCGTTTAAATATGATCACGTTGTTGTCACGTGGGGCGATGTTGTGAAAACGTATTCAAGATGATTTCCAAATATTAAAATATTAAAAAGTCGATTGAACTATTTTATATAAACAGTTCAAGAAATCCCTTCCGTTAAATATAGGAATACGTAGAGATTAATAGGTTCTTATATCTTCATACAAGCTTGAAGTCCTCCATGTTACAAAGCAAATCAAAAATGATTTCAAAAAACGATGGAACAGTTCTAAAAAACAGTTCGATAATAAATCCTTTCCTTACTTGAACAATAGATTCATATATTCTCCTCCAAGCTTGAATTCTTCCATGTTATAAAGTAAATTTAGGTTTGTATTTCCAGTAGACAGTATGTAAGCAAATATATGGACATAGATCCGACAGTATGAAGAAAAATACAGAAAAAAAACAAACAAAAATTTCCTATATTCAACGGAAGGGATTTCTTGAACTGTTTATATAAAATAGTTCAATCGACTTTTTAATATTTTAATATTTGGAAATCATCTTGAATACGTTTTTCACAACATAAGCCCACGCGTTTGATAACGTGATCATATTTAAGCGGAACGCTGATCTTGTATAAAAATTTCAGTTATCTGTTTGGATTAGTTGTGCTCTTATGTCCATCATCTTTTGTGTTAAATTTTATATGTTCTAATGTTAATTATGTTTAAATGCAAAAAATGTCCATGAAGATGATCTTAAATAGACCCCTAAACGTCGTCCGATCGACTTTTATATTAACATTAATACAGCATAATTGCATGTTAAAATTTTTGTTTGTTTTTTTTCTGTATTTTTCTTCATACTGTCGGATCTATATCCATATATTTGCTTATATATATATATATTAGAAAGAGAGAAAGAAAGAAAGAGAGAATTAGGAAATCAGCCAATTCTGCTACCTTGCTTTCAATCTTTCGGTATCTTCAGGCAATTGTGGACAATTTATTTCCTAAGACTTTATTTCTTTTAAAAGTAAAAAAATTTATGAACACTATATTTTTTTTAAAATAAATAAATGAATAAGCATACAACATGAGGTGTGATAGAAGGTGAGGAGGGGGAGAAGGAGGGAAAATCAAGTGCATTGGAAATGTATCAGTGAGGGATTAAATGAGATTATATATATATATATATATATATATATATACACGTTCTTTTTATTGCACTTCAATTGAACTCAAAATGAACTTTTCAAACCAGAGATGGAAATTATGTCCAGTTGCATAGATACTAAAAAGTTCGTTTTGAGTTCATTTGAAGTGGGATAAAAAGAATGTATATATATTTCATTTAATCTCCTACTGATACATTTCCAATACACTTGATTTTCTCTTGTTCCTCACCTTCTACCACACTTCACATTGTGTGCTTATTTATTTATTTATTTAAAAAAAAAAAAATATAGCATTCACAATTTTTATTTTTTAAAAAAATAAAGCGTTAAGAAATCAATTGACTGAAATCACCTGAAGATACCTGTTATATACCAATACCTATGAACACTAATAGGTATATCCCAATCCTCATAAATATGTTGGACACTTGTAAGTGTCTAAGTAGTCCACCACTAGCAGTGGTTTACCTACTTCACACCGCTGGCGAGTATTGTATTTTGTTGATATTATAAAGATTACCATTTCATTCCTAGCCTCCATTTTGATTATTCCTCATTTAGTAACTGTTGGGGCGCACCCACCTTCTAACTAGTAATGGACTGGTCCCTCTTATATAAGTCAGCTCTGGAGAGAGAGTGACAGAGCGTCAGAGAGAGAGTCAGCGTGAGCAGTCCAGATAAGCTTACCCGGTACCTACCGTTGGACTATAGACTTTGGATATTGTTTCGTACTAACCAACCTTCGTTCTACTAATCACTCTATTGTTAATTGCTTTTATGAATATACCAGTATTTTCCTCTACAACTGTGTTTGTCTTGATTCATACACCGACACGCGGGAAACTCACAACATCTCAACAGTAACCTTTTCCTAGGTTACAACAATACCAAAGGTTGAAACCAAAGTAGTATAATCAGCTGATTTCTTAATTTTTCTATACTTAAAAGTTAACTTTTTTATCTTTTTATATATGTATTGAGCATTTTTTAATACTATGGCTTCTTAGTCTAAGTCATCTCTGGCCATTAATTTCTTTATTATTATATATGTAAATAAATACAGAAAAGCATCAGTGCATAGCTGCATAGAAAATCCAAAGAAAATACCTGGCTTTTGTAGGGTATATATACTCACAGATTGGATTTGAGTCTGTAGACGATCTGTATGCATAAAGACAGAACGGCGTTCGGATTCAGCATAGGTAACCCAAATTTTGGAAGCAGATTCTTGAATGAGTGGTCTGAAAAATTGGAATGGATTAAATGGTTAGGCATGAGAGAAGGGTGACTAGTATTTTACTATTACACGATAGGGTTAGGGTGTAATAGTAAAAACTTACCAAAGTGTGTACAAGTCTTGTCTGTATAGTTTTTCAGTTTTAATATATGGCTACACACAACTTGAAAAGCTATATATATATATATATATATATATATATATATATATAATAAAAAGGCTTAAACACTAATACTCCATGGTCATAATTTATTCCATTGGAATCATAAATACGATCCAAATCATCAGACCTACAAATTTAAGCCTTTTTATTAAATGGAATAAATTATGGCCATGGAGTATTAGTGTTTAAGCCTTTTTATTAGTAATGTATATTTTCCACTAATATTATCAATCTATATATATATATATATATAGTTGAATCAATATATAGTTGAAATGACTAACGAGGGAATTCTGAGACTGATGGATCTCCCAGCCTTTATTTAAAAAAAAAAAAAAACTTGAAAAAGGCAATTTAACCAATACAAGGGCTAACCAAAATTAACAATAAAAAAAACAAATGAAAACTACAGACAAAGTTCACATTCTTCAGAGACAGTCATTCACTCCTGCTACTAACAAGCAGGGCTTTTTTTCTCTTGATGGTCATGGTGGCTGAAACTAGTCAAGGAACCTAATTTGAATAATAAAACAAAAAGTATTAATATATAAACCAGTGTGTCTGAAATTTTAATTTTTTAACATATTTTATTGTTCAAGAGATTTTATATATATATATATATATATATATATATATATATATATATATCAGTAGTCAATATACCACATAACACCCTTGAGCGCTTAGCCTTGGAGCTGGTAGAATGGAGATCAATGTGTTTTAGTGGACTCGGCAATATTTAATCTGCTTGTCTGAATCATCTTCAAGAAGTGAGAGCAAGATCTAAAAGGTCAGCCAATCTAATAGTGATCTCATCTCACAATCCTCACACTTGCTCCACATGTGGCTTCCTTTGTCAGTCACTGGCGGGTCTTAAATGCCACTTCGAATTATCGCACAAAATTTCATAACTGAATCTAGTAAGTTGTCAGATCCTCATACGTTGAAACCGATGGGAGAGTCCATTATTATTTTTTATATATATATATATATATATATATATATATATATATAAAAAAATAATGCAGCTTAATATTATAAAATTCATTCAAAGAATAAATCAATAAAGTTAATGTAATTAATGGCGAATTCACTTCAATAACAGATTAAGAAGCCATTAACTTACTGACCACTCGCTGAATGACACAATCCTTGATTTTATTAATTGTACAATGGATTAGATGTTCAGTCCATATAGTTTGCAAGTGCTTTCAATGCATACAACCACCATCTTCAGGCAGAGATGTTATTTTTTTCCCCTCAATTTCAGGTAATTCCAAGTAAAAAATTCAAAAATATTCTTAACTGTTAATAACAGCACACTTTTAAGAAAACATCTTTCAACAAGTAACACATTTATTTTTGTCTTGGAATTCCGAGCCATTATCTATTACTGTTGCCACACCTCCAAGCTTATATCACCTGGTATTCCCAGGTGGTCACCCATCTAGGTACTGACCAGGATCAACGTTGCTTAACTGGTGATCATATGGGAATTGGTATTTCAATGTGATGTGTCCTTAAGCTCTTTATATCCAGACATATCCAACCTTACAGCACCTGGTAGTCCCAAGTGGTTACCCATCTAGGTACTGCCAGGTTTGAAATCGCTTAACTGGTGATTTCAATGTGATGTGGCTGTAAGCCTTGAGAACTGGTGTGTTTGATGAAAGTTGTCAAGGCCAGCTCAGTACAGGATTCTATCCCATATTTTTAAAAAGATAGATTTTGTAAACTCACCTGACGGTTATGAGATCTGGTGTTGTGATCTTAGAGGAATCAGAAAGATCTATATTATTTAACTGGGTCCGAAATATTTCCTCCAAAGCCTGTAAAAATAAAAAAGTAAATAAATTTTAAAATGAAATGTTATTCAAATTTAAATTCTCAGTAAATATTTTGCTATTTTTTATTCATTGTTTTAATTATGATGTTAAGAATTTTCCAAGAAAGAGAGACATTGGTTTGGTTTATTTCACGGCATATCAACACCTCAATGGGTTATTTAATGCTGACAAGATTTTTATTGCTGGTAATTTTTTTTTTTTTTTTTAAATGTATTGCTGGTAATATTTTTTTCCAAAAATATTTAGTTTTAGTTTTTCCTTCCATTTGTGCTGTTAGGCATCATAGGGAGACAGTCGTCTGTCAGCAGCAAGGCAAATGACCTGGTGGAGAAATATCTCATGGGCTCTGAGAGTGTCTGCCACTAAGTTGCTCTTCTGTCTCTCGCTCTTCAGCCCGAGTACCTGAGGCACTCAACAAACTCATGTTCACCGATGACCAGGCATTGATGAACAATTACAGGATCCAGCTGTAGGAACACACTGATCATCTCAACTCAAGCTGCGAGAAATACGACATGAAGATCAGTGTCAATAAGACTGAGGTTATAACCGTCATCAACAGACCAGAAAATCTGGACATTAACACCAATGGGACCCAGCTAAAACAAACCAATGAATTCAAATATCTGAACACTATTTACATTATTCGGACTATTGTCCTCATCTTTGTCACCATATTTATTACAACATTTCGGCCGTTGTATGCTGCGGCCTACTTCAGGTGGTTAGAATGTCAAACTGAAAACTTTATTTCGCTCACTGGGGTAGTTCTAGTTCCACGTGCCATGTCTAATGGATGTCAGTTATCAGTTAGCTCCTGTTAAATATCTGGGTAGCATATTTACTGAAAATGGCAAACTCGACAGAGAACTTGAGACCAGATGTCAGAAAGCCAACACAGTCAGTTAACAACTTGTTCTTCTTCTAAAACATCTTAGCATTTCCATGAGCATCAAGGCAAATCTCATCAATGCCATTTTTCTACCAACACTGACATACCAGTGCCAGACATGACCCCTAACAAAAACCCTTGATAGGAAACTGATCACTTGTGAGATGAAATGCCTGAGAAAAGCAGTGAACAAGACTAGGTGAGGCAAGATCAGGAATGAGGTAATAAGAAATATGGTAGGAGCAATACCACTCATACAACATATTGCTGGTATTAAAACCTATTTTTACACTTTCTTAGTGTTTTGACCCCAGTTTGGGGGTCAGCTATTTGCCCATAGCTGGGACCCTAATACATGCTACCACCCTGAGTCAGGGTGGACCTGGGAACAACTGCAATTATGAGGTGGTTCCACACTGCTCAAAGCCTTCTGATCAGAGGCCTTGCTGTTGAATGTAGTTTATTGTCTTACCCAAGACAAAAGAGAGATAAGCTGTATAATTCTGCATGCAATCTTGCCACAGATGATTCCAAAATAAGCTCACTTTCAATAAATTTTCATCTGAATAAATTACTTTCTTTTAAATATTAAGGGTGGGGGGTGCAAAATTTAATAATAGTGATTAAAATAAAACAAGGAAGAAAGAATAACTAAAAAGGAGAGTAACAAAAAAGATTTACATTACCATAAAGTGGTAATATTGAAATACAAAAACACAAGTGAGGAAGACACTGTAATTTTCACCTTACAGTTTTAGAGTTAACTTATATTAAGTCCTGCCAGCCATCCCTTTGTGAGCAGAAGGAGTGGTTATCAAGCTTCAATTTAATTAGCTATTGATATTTATTATATAACATCTGGTTTTTGGTGTTTTTCATCTTAGTCACCATGCACATTTCTTGTCCTTGAATGAGCAATGATGAGAGAGGATTGATAAACTGGTAAAGTTGATTTTTTTTTATTTCAATAAGTTATTGATCAATTGATTTTTTACAGCTTATCAACCCTCTGCAGGTTATTTAAAGTCAGAAAATATTTTTAGATTGTGAAAATTTTTTCTAACAATAGTGGTTTCTATACATTTCTATTCCAGAGAATGTAAATAAATCTAAAAGACATGTTTATGTAGCTAATCAGGATTTAATAAACAAACAAGAAATAATGTGGATATAAAGTGTGTGATCAATTCTATATTACAATCTATATATAAAGTGATCACTCACTTTGTGACCACCTTAGTTTCTATACATTTATATTCCAGAGAATGTAAATAAATCTAAAAGACATGCCTGTGTACCTAATCAGTATTTGATAAACAAACAAGAAATAATGTGGATATAAAGTGTGTGATCAATTCTATATTACAATCTATATATAAAGTGATCACTCACTTTGCGACCACCTTAATTTCTATACATTTATATTCCAGAGAATGTAAATAAATCTGAAAGACATGACTGTGTACCTAATCAGTATTTGATGGATTCGTTCATTTTCTACAGCTTATCAACCCTTTGCAGGTTATTTAAGGCCGGAAAATATTTTTAAATCGTAAAAAGTTTTACTAATTAACCCATAGATGGGGGAAGAAGAGGTGGATTCATATCTCATCAGAATTTAATAAACAAGAAATTATGTGGATATAAAGTGAGGGATCAATTCTACATAACAATAAATATATAAACTAATCTCTCACTTTGTAGCCATGGTAGTTTCTATATATTTATATTCCAGAGAATGTAAATAAATCTAAAAGATGTGTCTGTGTAACTAATCCATATTTGATTCATTCATTTCCTACGCCTTATCAACCCTTTGCAGGTTATTTAAAGCCAGAAAATATTTTTAGATTGTAATAATTTTTTGGGGAGATAATAATGATTTACTGATACAAGGTCTATTAATTAACCCATAGCTGGGAGACAAGTGATGGATTCCTAACTTTCCCAAAGTATATATATATATATATATATATATATATATATATATATATATAATGAACCTGACTGGAATTGGAACTCTGCTCTCTGATTTCCAATTCCAAACTATTATCCATTACAACATCTGGACACTGAAAGCTACAGTGTCTGGTTTTCCCAGGAAGTCACCTATCTAGGTACTGACCAGGCTTGATCTTGCTTAACTCCAGTGATGATACGAGAACTACTGTTTCAATGTGATATGACTGTAAAAACCTTTTTGTGTTTTACTTCCTCTTTGTTCATCCATTTTTTTCAGCTTAGTTACGTTTTAGGTTAGTCACCATTTTTGATCACTTCCTGTTAGCCCTTAGTTATCACCAGAACCAACCCTGTCAAAGCACATGGTTCATATTTTTCTCACCCTCCTAACTCTTATCCCCAATGACAATATCACCGGCATGTAACCATTAAAACCCTTTTCTCTCTACATTGGTCTCCTTTAATATCATGGTATTATTTGAACATTTATTTAATGTAGCCATCTTTTACACATTTATTTTTTTCTCACATCTCTCTATGACGAATCCTTTCTAACCCATGTTCACCACTGATACACTGTGACCAAATGTAACTTTCCGAGTACTTACACTGCAACATGAAATGTATTCCTGTTGCAAACTTTATACATATTCATGTAAGCAAAGTATTCACTGCCTTCCTTTACCAATTTAAAGGAATGGTCTTGCTTCGATGTTTAAGCCTCTGGCTGCTTTTGTCATATTCTTTTTTGGTTTGGTTTGTTTTACGGCATATCAATCTCAATGGGTCATTTAATGCTGACAACTTTTTTTTTTTTCTGGTAATATTTTTATTTTGTCAAAAATCTATTTCTGTTAATATTTTTTTCCTCAAAAATGTATAGCTGGTAATATTATTTTTCAAAAACATACAGCTGGTAATATTTTTCCAAAAACATATTGCTGGTAATAGATTTTCTCTTTCAAAAATGTATAGCTGGTAATATTATTTTTCAAAAACATACAGCTGGTAATATTTTTCCAAAAACATATTGCTGGTAATAGATTTTCTCTTTCAAAAACGTACAGCTGGTAATATTTCCCCAAAAATGTATTGCTGGTAATATTTTTCTCTTTCCTCAAAAATTCATTTCTGGTAATAATTTTTTTACAAAATATTTCTGGTATTAAAACCTATTTTTACACTTTTATAATGCCTTTTACCTCAGTTCCTGGGTTAACTATTTGCCCATAGCTAGGACCCTAACAGGTGCTACCACCCCAGGTCAGGGTGAACCTGGGAACACCAGCAATTAAGAGGAGGTTCCATGCTCCTCAAAGCCTCCCGATCAGAGGCCCTGCTGTTGGACGCAGTTTATCATCTTACCCTCGACAATATTCTTTTTTTGCCCTTTTGTTATTCAAACTCATCTTATAATGATGATGAATGGGATTTCATCTTCAGAGTCTTAATTTCCTTGAAGTATTTATCTGGTTATCTTGAGGTACACACATGTACAAGATGGATGCGTACATGGGAGTGAACTAATTTCAGAATTGGCTTTGGTAAAATGGTGTCCAAGATTATACAGCATATCTTTCTTCCTCACAAAATTTCTTATTTAGTAATGCTCTACTCTAGTGCACCATTATGCTTTGCCAATGGGCACTCCATTTTTAAATTATGGTACAATTTTACTGATTTAATTTTACTATTTACATTGTTTGGACCATTGTCCTCATCCTTATTGCCATGTTCACAACGATTTAGCTGTTGCACTTTTCGGCCTTCTTCAGGTAATATATGCTGGAACTTTGAACCGAACCCTAAGCCACATGGCCTAGTGGATAAAAGTATTGGCTGAGTAATCCAAAAAGAGTTGTGAATTCAATCCCTGGCTAAAAAAGAGAGAACAGAAAACTTGGAGAGTTGAGTTACTAAAGGGAATTAACTGAAACTGAGAAATTCAAAAAAAGGCATAGCATGTGGAATTAGAACAATATACCCTTATAAAGGGTTCGATTTGAAATTCTAACATTTATTACCGTTGCAGCGTACAACAGCCAAAATATGAATATGGCAATAAAGATGAGGACAGCAGTCCGAACGATATAAATAGTTACAATATCTCATCTCAGAAATATAGACAGATCCTGAAGAAGTCCTGAGTGTACAACTACTGAAACGTTGTGAATATGGTAGTAAAAATGAGGACAACAGTCCAAACAATGTAAATAGTGTAAATAATTACAATACCTCATCTCTGAAATATAGACAGATATTAATTTTACTAGTATTGTTAATATGCCATTAAATGAACACAAGAAATTATTCAAGAGTATCAAATTTTACACAATGTTATTGTACAGGGTGTGGCAGAAATATCTCCCACATAATGGTAAGACATTGTTTAATGGCATTAAATGACCCATAAGGACTTGTTCTTATGGGTTTTTAATGCAGAAATTTAATTTTCTCAAGATCTTTGAAGTAATAAAAATATAATATATATTATTCTGCTTTCACAATAGAATCTATGGTAGATGATACTCAGCTTTTGTGCATATACATGTTTGTGTTGACATAATTACTGGAGGCAGTATTATGTGAATTTTATGTTGTACTTTTGTTGAAGTTCTATTTTGAAATACAGTTTGATTTAAGAAATTGTAGGATATCATATGGATTAATGTCATAAAAAAGATCTTATGTTGGTTCTTTGGTTGGTTGATTTTGTTTAGTGGCATATCAACACCTATATGGGCTATTTAATGCTGAAATCTAACTATTTTGAACATAATTTTATGGTTTCAACATTTTAAACACAATTATATGCCTTCAAATACATAAATATAAACTGTAAATAGGTATTGTTGGTAATTTTTTAATATAAAAATGTATTGTTGGTAATTTTTTAATATAAAAATGTACTGCTGGTAATTTTTTAATATAAAAATGTATTGCTAGTAATTTTTTAATATAAAAATATATTGCTAGTAGTTTTTACTATAAAAATGTATTTTTTATACTTTCATAATTTTTGTGTTTTGTTTGGTGGCGGGGTCACTATAACTGGGTTCCCTAACAGGTGCTATTGTCCTGGGTCAGGAACAACAATAATTAAGAGGTGGTTCCACACTCCTTAAAACCTAATTTCCTTTTTAGAAGCCTTGCTGCCAGATGTAGTTTATTGTCATACCCAGGACTGATTTAATATATGAAGATAGCATTGCCACTAATGTCAATATGGGAGGTTTTTCCTTGGAAGTTTCATGCAGGAAGGCATTTCTATTTATTTGTACAATGAGTTTAAATGAGAAAAATTCAAATGTAAAGAATTCAAAAATAGAATATTTATTTATACAATAAAATTGAGAACTTACAAATTTATGCAATGCCTCTCAGGTTGATCTAAAATTTTAATGATTGTTAAAATATAAAAAAGTTGCAATTTTCATTTATTAAATGATGACTGTGAATCTTACCTTTTCACCAGAAAAGAGTTGCTATCAGACAGAGAGCGAGAGGGAGAAAATGCCTTGACAGAGAGCGAGAGAGGGAGGGAAAATGCCTTGACAGAGAGCGAGAGAGGGAGGGAAAATGCCTTGACAGAGAGCGAGAGAGGGAGGGAAAATGCCTTGACAGAGAGCGAGAGAGGGAGGGAAAATGCCTTGACAGAGAGCGAGAGAGGGAGGGAAAATGCCTTGACAGAGATGAAATGCGAAAGAAAAAATGTGTTGACAGTGAGTAAAAAAAGGAAGACAGGAAATGCATTGACAGAGAGTGAAAGAGAAACAAGATGCTACCGAAACTTCCGTCCTATCGCTTTTCAACCAACTTTGATCTTCAAAAATTTAAATGCAATGTCAATCGTTATCTTTTATCGTCTTAATTCCTTTGTTTGCTATCCTTAACAATGCTTTTTTCATTTTCTCATATTTTTTACTCTCAGCAACCCCTTATGTCTTAGTGGCTTTATTGTCTTCCTTCAGTTGAAATGAGTAAAAAAAAAAAAAAATTGCTGTAGCATTATCAACATGTTTTTGTAGCTCTATGTTAAATTGGGAGTTTATAAGTAGAGATTTATTTATTTCAAATTCATGTGTGAATTCAATGGTAGGTTCACCTTATCAATAAGATGTCGAGGAAAGGTAGAGATTTGTGTATCATCATATAGTTGAACCTACCACACATGAATTTGAAACAAATGAGACTATAAATTTAATCTAACAATGAGTTAGGCTTGGATGTACTGGTTGTTTACAGCATCCAAGTAAAAATTAGCCTCCCAGATGCTGACATTGCATATAAATCTTCCTTAGTTAAATTTCATTTCACAGTATTATAGAGTACAAGTACTAATAGTCTATTGCATCCGAGTAAATATTAGCCTCTCCAATACATCAATTCATGTACATTTTTAGACATTTATTTTCTGAAAAGAGGATAGCCTTATATGCCATCAAATATACTATCTCTTTCCCCTGCTCTGTCTCTACAAAGCAGATCACAATGCATTAAAGGATAAATTATGTAATTATTTAAGAAGGTTGGCTGAAGTAGCGGCTGCATAACGGAAATCGGTTGTAGAAGGTTTAAAATGAAAGAACCAAATTTTACTTACTGGTTTCTTGCAGACATAAAGTTCTTCCCAAACCCTTTTGGCAGCAGATGCCACAAGATAAAGCCCTTCATGCAAACTGGCACTTTTTGTAAGATGATTCACAGGACACATGTCCCCGTCTAGGAGTTGGGTATCAACGTGCCAGGTAGTTGCTCGTGGACGAGATTCATTTAAATTGGTCCCACTGAAACAATGAACAGAAATAAACACATTTGATGAGAATTTGGACATTTCATATATTTATTTTCATGTTTATTATTAATTAACATTATTATATTTGTTCTTTAATTTTGTGTGTACATTATTCCCTGTCAATGCCAATAATGAAATATTCTGTTTGGTTTTGGAAAGTAAAGGAAGATAAAGGAGACGATAACACTCTGATGCATTTAACATCTGCTTCAGTGAAACGGAAAACCTTGTCAATTTCAAATCTTTGAATTTGTACCTGCATACTTCTTTAAATAATGACCTCTATTTATACTGATGATTGTTTGTTTGTCTAATGGCATATCAACTCTTTATGGGTCATTTAATGTCAAAATTTAATTTTCTAGGGAGTTTGTGTAATTTTTTTTTTGTTTTTTGCAAACATCTATTGCTGGTAATTTATTTTTTTATTTATTTATTTATTTTTTTTTTTAATAATTTTAGTTTTATCACCCCAGTTTGGGGGTTCACTATTTTCCCATAGCTGGGACCCTAACAGGTGCTACCACCCCGGATCAGGGTGGACCTAGGAACAACAGCAATTAAGAGGTGGTTCCACGCTCTTCAAAAGATCCCGATCGGAGGTATTGCTGTTGGATGTAGTTTATCATCATATTCGGGATAACTGGTAATTGTTATTGCAATATTTTGTTAATGTTGTTAAGTTCAAAGATTTAACAATGAAAAAAATTGATTCCTACAGTTATTTTATAGTTGTGGAATTCGTAAGGAGCTTATTCAATCATTAACTTAGGAATTATGATTAATCAGAAAATTGAAATAGCAAAACAAATTTTCCTGATCGTTCTTACTAGACCATCCCTAAACTCGTTGGATTTCTTTTAAAAGCTGCTCATGATACAAAATGATGAGATAACAATATTATCAATTTTATTAATTATACATTTTAATTTTTATTTATAGATGGTATAAAAAGTTTTATTGTTCCACTGGAACAACAAATCTATAAACTGATACCCTATTGTATGAAAATTTGGAATAATAGAGGTAAAACATGTGTAATCTTTTTCAAAAGAATAAGTACATTTTTTTTCATTAATCATTAGTTAATAAGTATTTTCCATCCCCAAAACAAATGAAAAGCACAAAAACCGCCATAATCCAAATATATCCTGATTTAAATGTTTTCCACACCAAAAATGAATGAAAACACCAAAAATGTCTTAATGCAAACATATCCTGATTTAAAGTAGGAAAATAAATTATTTTACAATATCAATAGATATATGTTTTACTTATTTAAATTAAAAGAGAAATTTCTTCCATAAAACATACATGGAATACAAAATTAAGAATTAATACTGAAGATGGTATAAGAAGGTTTATTGTTCCACTGAGCTTCATAGTTAACATGTTGCAGGAAAATTTGAAGGAATAGCTTAAAACATTTGCAGTCTTTTTTCAAAATAATAAGTCTATTTATCATTATACATACTCGTTTCTACCGCACATTTATCACAAAATATGTAACAGCAACAACTCAGTGTGCATCTATTCATTTATTTATTTATCCTCAAGTCATGTGACACAGAGCCTCTTCACTTTTCAAGTAGTTCTTTATAAAAACCAATTCTAATGTAGTATAGTGAATTGTATATAAATATAACATATTTATATGCATAACACAACATGTGTTATGCATATTTAAATGTATTTAATAATGTTGTTATAATGTATTATGAATGTCTATTATTTTTCACACACATAATAGCTGGAATATAATATGCGTTTATTTATATATGCGGATTGATATAAGAATGTGTATCAAAAACAAATGCAGAATTTTCTATTAAAAATGACTTAAAAACAGAAAAATGGTCCTAGCTAAAGAATCCTTTTTCTAATTTTAATGACATTTGGCACTGAATTTGGTAGGGTTTCAAGGTACAATATTCTCCTAAATTGGTTGGGGTATTATGGATCATTTATGCTGTATATTGGGAACACACATGCATACAAGATTATAGATATAAGGCTGAGTCAGAAATAATTTCCGTTTTTGTTTATCAATTTCTTTCCTCAAAAAAAAAAAAAAATACCATTTATATTTTATTCATTTATTTATCTACCATTATTTGCAATGGCTTGTTGCCACTTTATCAGGCAACACTTCGATGAGATTTTGAGTAAAAGTATACATACAATGCCTGCAGAGATAACCTAGAATTATGATACACATACAAACATGACTTATACACACACAAACGCTGCTTGATAAGTCAATTCAACTTTTAAGTAGCCATTTATAAAAAAAAAAACCCCAAAAAACAAGTTCTAATGTAGCATAGTGAATTGTATATAAATATATGTTGTGTTATGCATATTTATATTTAATAATGTTGTTATAATGTATTATGATTGTTTATTATTTTTCACACACATAATAATTGGAATATAATATATGCATTTATTTATATATGCAGATTGATATCAGAATGTGTATCAAAAATAAATACTGTATTTCCTATTAAAAATGCCATGAAAACAGAAAAATGGCACTAACTCGAGGAACCCTTTGTCTAAATTTAATGAAATTTTTTAATGGTTTTAGTGATACAAGTCTTACTAATTAACTCATAGTTGGAGTGAGAAAAGGTGAATTCATACCTCATCAGAATTTGATAAACAAACAAGAAATTATAACGTGGATATAAAATGGAGGATCCAGTGTACATTACAATCAATATATAAACTAATCCCTCACTTTGGGGCCACCATAGTTTCTATACATTTATATTCCAGAGAATGTAACTAAATCTAAAAGACATGACTGTGTAATTAATCAGTATTTGATTGATTGATTGATTCGTTTCTACAACTTATCAGAACCATTGTAGGTTATTTAAAGCCAAAAATTTTATATGATAATGGTTTAGTGGTACAAGATTTACTAATTAACCTATAACTGGGGGGAGGTGGAATCATACCTTATCCAAGGGGATTTTTGCATAACTGAATATAATAAATTCAATTGGAATTGGAGCTCGGCTCTCCAATTAACAATTCCAAGCAATTATACATTATATCACCTGTTATTGACAGGTGGTCACCCATCAAGATAAATACCATGCTCGATGTTGCTTAATTTCAGTGATCATACAAGAACCAGTGTTTCAACATGATGTGGCTGTAAGCTTGCCTTCTTCAGGTGTCCATTGATCTTATTAACCTCCAAACTGTATTCTTTATATAGTCTATGGGAACAGATTGTTCTTGCTCTGTGATACATGTCTCAGGATATCCCCTGTCTTGTTCTTATTTAGTATTTTTAAGAGTTTGCCTTGTTTCCACTGAGCATAGGCCTGCTCTACCCAGCTCAAGAATCCAACACAGAATTACTATGTCACCAAATTCACAAACTAACACTTGAATCCACTAGGCTATTGTCTTGTAGGACAATCCTGAATCTAGAACTTTAACCTTAAAGCTAATGCTTTTCTCGTTTGCCTGCCTGCTGCTGACACTGCATTCACCAGTTTCTCTTTTGCTGATGCTTCTGCTATTGAAGCCTAGCTGTATAAATCTATATTAAGTTGTAATGACAGAAATATTAAATTTTAGATGTGCAGTTAATGTGTCAAATTGAACTTACCTTCGGCCAGGGTCATCAGTCAGCTGTAGTAGACAATAGCTGAGGCAGCCAAGGAATTCTTGATCATAATTACCAGGTCCAAACACCAGACTTCTGTTGTTGGTTAATTTATGAAGAGCCTCCAAGACACTGGCCTGAGCAGCAACATTATCAATGGTGCGAGATAATTGGAATAAGATGGTTCTGTTCAAGCATCTATAAATCGGATCCAGTGAAAGACCTGATGCTTTGACGCAAAATGAAAAAGACATTGTTATTTTCTTTTAAAGAGTAATTAAGTAATTTTTTTTTTAATCATTGACATGGTGGGTCTTAGCAGTGAAGCTTAAAACTGGGGGAACTAGGGAATGTAGCTTGTCTGAACAATTTCCATGGAAATAGTGATAAGACATTTGAAAAATGACGTAAATGAGAGAGATAAAAAAAAAGAGAAACTCTTATCTACATCAGGGCTGCACAATTTAAAAATGTGAAGGGTCACAATGGGATGGGGGGAGGGAATGTGAAAGGGTCACAATATGGTGGGGGGATGTGAAGGGTCACAATGGGCAAAGGAAAATGTGAAGGGTTACAATGGTAAGGGGAAAAATGTGAAGGGTCACAATGGGATGGGAGGAGGGAATGTGAAGGGTCACAATGGACAAAGGTAAATAAGAAGGGTCACAATGTGGAGGGGGGCAGGGAATGTGAAAGGTCACAATATGGTGGGGGTGATGTGAAGGGTCACAATATGGTGGGGGGGATGTGAAGGGTCACAATATGGTGGGGGGATGTGAAGGGTCACAATGGACAAAGATAAATAAGAAGGGTCACAATGTGGAGGGGGGAGGGAATGTGAAAGGTCACAATATGGTGGGGGGGAATGTGAAGGGTAACAATATGGTGGGGGGAATGTGAAGGGTAACAATATGGTGGGGAGGATGTGAAGGGTCACAATGGGTAAAGGTAAATAAGAAGGGTCACAATGTGGAGGGGAAAATGAGAAAGGTCAAATTTATCCCAAAATATTAGCCACAGGCCACAATAGTAAATTTTTAAATTACTGGTTATGAGTGAGAAAGAAACAGATATAGAGAAAGAGGGATGGCTTCTTTTTTTTTTTTTTCTACTTTTCCCTTAGAGAGTTAAAAGGATTAATTTGATACAAAGACAGTGAAATATTGATTGAATAAAATCCCGCTTCTACAAAAATGAATTTTCATATGCGATGAGTTGTTGAATTTATTCTAACGATCATGAAAAGCTATTTCGAAAACTATTTGAAAAACACCTCACAGTACCCAAGATGGGCGACATGCAGTCTGTATTTTGGGAATGTCTGATCTACAGAATTACTAGGAAAGAAAGGAAAAAGGAAACTGGCATTTTTTTTTTAAATATCAGAAAAAGAGCAGTATAAAAAAGGGTGAGTAATGGCAAAAAAAGAGGGTGAGATAGAGAGAGAGAAGTTTCAGAGGAGATAGAGAGAAATAGAGAGCAAGGGTCGAGGTATGAGAGAGAGATTGAACAAAGCAAAGGTTCAAAGTTGAGTGCAAACAAAACAAGAGCAAGATCAAGGAGCCAGTTGAGAGAGAGAAAACAAGGAGCCACTCAAGAGAGAGAGAAAGAAGACAGTCGAGTGAGAGAGAGGGAGACAGCAAGAAGACAGTCAAGTGAGAGAAAGATACCAGTCGAGTGAGATAGAGCAAAAGAAGCCAGTCGAGTGAGAGATAGAAGCCACTCGAGGAAAGGAAACCAAGGAAAAAATATACAGAAATATATATATATATATATATATATGTTTCAAAAACTACTCACCCTTCCTCTTAGCCTGGGAAATCAGCTTGCTCACAAATTCAAATACTTCCTTAGATTCCCGTGTAAAAACACCTGCAAGCAAAATAAATTAAAAGTAGATCACATTTCTTTTTTCCAAAACCTCATTTTTAATTAAAAGCAATAATATCGTCACTAAATAAACAGTATATAGAAAACATTGCCTGTCTGTTAAAGGTAAGTCCATGAGCGTTCTTGTTATGCCTATAAAAAAAAAAAAAAAAAAAGAAAAGAAAATGCTATATTACATTTTCTATGAAACTGATCATTGTTTGGCTTTTCCTAATTTTGTTCCAGTTTTTTTTACTTGCCTATCAATATGACAAGAAACAATTGATAATATTTCATGAGTATCAACAACAGAGAACAGTGCTGTATCTTATTTTTTTTTATTCTTTATATTAAAATTTATCCTCAATTACCTGGCAAACACCTATGTATGAAAAATCACCATATTCTGTCCAGGTCAATAGTAAACTGCTTCTGTGTGATTTTCAATTTACTTCTACAACAAAATAATTTGGAAAGCATTTACATTGTTCGCATAATAGCCCTATTCTATCAGTAATGCTTGCATTCATTCCTGACCACTGAAAATCCCTTTCTTCCTTATTTGCAATGCATTCCTATAGTAAAACACTGCTACAAAATAATAATTACACATATAATAGCTCTATTCTATCAGTAACGCTTGCATTCATTCCTGACCACTGACAATCCCTTTCTTTCTCATTTGCAATGCATTCCTATAGTAAAACACTGCTACAAAATAATAATTATACATATAATAGCCCTATTCTATCAGTAATGCTTGCATTCATTCCTGACCACTGACAATCCCTTTCTTCCAAAATGATGATTATACAGGTTATGTTAGGTAAATTGTGCCAGAGATAGTTTCACTCAACACCTACAAAAAGAAAACATTAACCGAAAAACTTGTGTCATGTTCTTAATTAGTCTCATCAGATCAAATCTTTCATATAGTTATAATGCATTGTGCCAAACATATTTAGAAATATATTAACTGTACAGTGCAATTGGTAAATTGTTACCATTTTATATTTTTAATTTTGCACAAACATGTTGTTTGTTTTTGATTTTGTTGACTGCACAGTATATTAGGGTCATTGGGCACCGTCTGTGAGAAAAAGAGCACCATGACAGAGTGGTTTGGTTTTGGTTTGTTTTACGGCATATCAACCTCAATGGGTTATTTAATGCTGACAAGATTTTCATTGTTGGTAATATTTTTTTCCAAAAATCAATTTCTGGCAATATTTTTTTCAAAAAATGTATAGATCGTAATATTTTTTTTTTTTTTAAAGAATGTATTGTTGGTAATATTTTCACAAAAATGTATTGCTGGTGGTAATATTTTTGTTTTTCAAAAAAGTACTGCTGGTAATAATTTTTTGCTGGTATTAAAACCTATTTTCATACTTTCATAGCGTTTTGACTCCTTTTGGGTATTTAACTATTTGCCCATAGTTAGGACCCTGAGAGGTTCTACCACCCGAGGTCAGTATGGAACTGGGAATACTGCCAATTAAAAGGTGGTTCCATACCCCACAAAATCTTCTGATCAGAAGCCTTGCTATTGGACGTAGTTTATCGTCTTACTCAGGATGGACCATTTATCGTCTTACTCAGGATGGACTGAGCAGTGTGGAAGGGGATCGTTAATGGAGTTCTGACCAACCACAGGGAGGTCAAAGAACATGATTTGAGTTTTCAGGTTAATGTTTTGGTTTTGTAGGAATTTGTAGTGTTGAGCAAAACCACCTCTGGCAGAGTCTATTCTATGTTCAATTTATTTTTCTTCTATACTAAGTTTATTATAACTGATCCATACACCGAGATATTTAAATACTAGTGTACAAATTGGCCCGTTTATGATATATTTTTTATGATACTGTCCCTTGGATGTGCGTCATTTAGCGTAGTCAGTACTGTGGAGTATATGATTGAAGCCAAAATGGTGATGCACATGAGAAATCAGCTTCTTTCTAGTTATTTCTTTCCAGTAAATGGCAATTTTTTTATTTTTATCAAAATGGGCCAGTACAGCCAGGTAACACCACCAATTACAATGTAGCAGTAAAAGTGTTAAAAATAGAGAATTATGAAATCAAAGTAAACTTTTTAAAGGTTTATTAACAGATTGTATTACAAAACCTGTTAAAATTATGGAATAGGCAGTGACCAGAAATGTTTTTTTTCAATTTTCTTTTTTTCATAAACCATTGATTAAGCAGATTATGAATATTAAAAAAAAAATTAAATTTTATAAATTAATTTGCATAGCAAACTGCACAGTTTGTTATGCAAATTAATTGTAAATTGATGGAAACAAAAAACCCCCCAAAAAACACGTAATTTCTTAAAATGTAAAAAATATAAAAAAAATTAATATTAAAAAATTCAGAAATTCATCATTTGGGGTTTCTTTTCTTTTAAGCACTGTAGAAATCAGGTCATATGAGCACGTATGTTTTGGCTTCTACAGTTTTAATCAATTTAAATTTTTTTCAACAATTTTTATAAAATTTAGTAATTTTTTTATTTAATTATTTCAGGATTTGCAGTGCTTAAGCTACAGTAACATGAAAAGATATAGTAAAAATATAAAAAAAGAAAAATAATTATTTCTGGTTACAGTGCATTTTGCACAACTGTAATACTTTTAATATTTTTAGATCCACCAAATGTAAAATCTTACTGTAGAAATGAATATTCAAAACTGTACAGTAGAAATGAATATTCAAAACCGTACAGTAGAAATGAATATTCAAAACCGTACAGTAGAAATGAAAATGCAAATTTTACTGTAGAAATGAAAATGCAAATTTTACTGTAGAAATGAAAATGCAAATTTTACTGTAGAAATGAAAATGCAAATTTTACTGTAGAAATGAAAATGCAAATTTTACTGTAGAAATGAAAATGCAAATTTTACTGTAGAAATGAAAATGCAAATCATACTGTAAAAATCAAAATCTTACTGTGGAAGGCACACATATACTTCCTAAATCAAAATTTGTCAACTTACAAACAATCTATATTTTTACCATTTTATTCTGGATAACATGAATGAAATTCATTGTAAAAAGAAAAATAAATAAAACAGTTAAATTCACATTATATACATTTTTTGGTAATGAGAAGTCAATTAGTAAGCACTACTCTCGTCAAAGAAGGTTAATTAAAAGCTCAAACTATGACTGTTACAGTTTAGTCAGTCATTGTATCTTGTTAGTAGAAACTAGTATGTACTGGTAGAAGGGATTTGTTAAAATTAGTATGGAATTATTTCAAGGGTTTCATTCCACAATTTCAAATAGAAAAATGGTTAAAGGAGAAAAGAAAAAAGAAAGAAGAAAAAGACAAAAGAAAGGAAAAAGAACGAAAAAGAAAAAAGAACGAAAAAGAAAAAAGAACGAAAAAGAAAAAAGAACGAAAAAGAAAAAAGAACGAAAAAGAAAAAAAGAATGAAAAAGAAAAAACAAATAAGAAAAAGAAAAAGGAAAAGAAAGAAAAGAAAAGAAAATGGAAAAAAAAGAAAAGAAAGAAAGGAAAAAAAGTTAAAAGAAGCAAAAGTCTGTTAAGAAATGTGTTAAATTGAGGACCAGTATTCAGCTTGCTTAATTTTGATGCAAAAATTTGTACTCAAGTTCCTTCAATGGTGCCATAATTTTTTTATGCTATACTCAAATAAATAGAAATTACATTTCAATTTAACTAAATTGGTAAAATTAGTGAATATACTATAAAATAGCATATTTACTCTTTCTTTACTCTCATGAGGCAATAGCCTAATGCAGGAGTGGGTAACCCTTAGTGCCAAACCTAGCAAGATGATGACTTGTTTCTGGCATGCAAAATTTATTCATTACATTTCCTCTTTGATTTACTTTTATTCTTTCTCCGCTTTCATGTCTATCATTATCTCATGTATTTTTTATTTTCTTCCCTTTACAGAATGTCACAATCATCAGCTAAGAAATGATGTCATTCAAATGAAAAGGATATTAGAGAATTTAAAGAATACTGGACTGAAAAATTTGGCATGATCCAGAAAGACAATAAAGACTTATGTATTTTCTGTTCTGAAACAATCGACTTCTTCTGTAAAGAGACATTTTGAAAATGTTCATAAGAACTTAAGCAATAAAACGGAAGTGGAACAAAGAGAATTAATTTCTTGAGAACCGAGCAAGAAGGAAAAACAGGTTGATACTTTTATGAACTTTATTTCAGGTAGGCCCTGTTGCAACTTAGTTGCTGCTAGTTTTGAGATTTCAAAAGTTATTGGCCAACATGGAAAGTCACTCAGTGATGCGGAGTATATTAAAGATGCTTGGCTAGAATGTGCACCTTTCCTTTTTGGTAATTTTTCAGAAAGGGAAAAGATTATTCAGCGCATTAAAGATTTGTCTGTGAATAGGAAAGCAGTTAAGGATAGGATACTTAAATTGGTTTGGTTTCACTTTTTTACGGTATACCAACTTCAATCGGTTATTTAATGCCAACAAGATTTTTATTCCTGGTAATATATTTTTCAAAAATGTATTGCTGATAATATTTTTTCTTCAAAAATTCATTGCTGGTAATATTTTTTACAAAAATGTATTGCTAGTATTAAAACATATTTTTACGCTTTTGACCCCAATTTGGGGGTTAACTATTTGCCCATAGATGGGGCCCTAACAGGTGAACCTGGGAACACCAGCAATTAAGAGGTGGTTCCACACTCCTCAAAACCTCCTGATCAGAGGCCTTGTTGTTGGATATAGTTTATTGTCGTACCCAGGACACGGATGTAGTTTATCGTTTTACATAAGACGGTATTAAATTGGAAAGGAATACAACTGAACAATTGACAAAAGATCTGTCTTCATGTAAGTATCTTTTCTATTTGTGTTGATGAAAGTATAGACTTTACATCATCAACTAGGGTAGGCATATTTTCTCGATTTTGTAAGAGTGATGAAGTATGTGAAAAGATGGTTGTCCTTGTCACACTACCTGAGCGTACCTTCAGGCCTGAAATATGTAAAGCAGTTGTAAATGAATTATCTACTTGAAAAATTCACATTTCAAAAGTAGTATCTGCCACAACAGATGGTGCCCCCAGCATGACTGGTGAGAAGGCAGGACTTGTAAATATATTTGCAAAAGATGTTGGTTTTTGTTGCATCATACAAGTGCAGGATTTGTGCATAAAAGCTGGCCTAAAGGAACTTCAGGAAGTGATGCAAACAGTTACCAAGGTTGTTAATTACATTTTTGCTCAGGCTTTAAATAAAAGACAAGTTCAAATTTTACTGAATGGGGTAGATTCTGTATATAAAGGACTGAAAATGTACAACAATGTCCATTGGCTTAACTGAGTTTTGGTTCTGAAACGATTTATTGAATGGTTAGATGAGATAAAGCTTTTTTCGTATGACCAACAAGTGTCTTACCATGAATTGTCTGAGAGAGAGAGAGAGACACACACACACACACACACACTCCCCCTTGGCTTAGTGCAATGTTTCTCAACTGGTGGGTAAAAAGGTTGAGAAATGCTGGTCTATTCTATTTTCAATGTCCTTATCGCCTATACTAAAATCCTTGGTTATTATAATAAAATATAAAATAGATATTATTAATGATATATAATCCTTTTTATGAAGGGTTTTCCCAAGATATGAAAACTGTTTCAAGGGTTCGACAAGGCTAAAACGGTTGAGAAACATTGGTCTAATCTATTCTAAATTCTCTGTAGGCTACCTAGATTGACATGCACCTGATGAAGGCCAGAGGGGACAATGACTGAAATGGTGTGATAACAAAGATTGCCCATTGCAAATAATAATTCTACAAATTCTGATGAAAAAGTATCATTGAAGTTGCTATGGCAACAGAGCTAAAGTATGCAGAGTGAAGTCGCTTGACACACATTGACCTTGAACACTGTTGCGCATGTATACAAAGTTATGTTCTCCCTCATTTCCATTGCTTATAGCAATGCTTGGAAGGAAAGTGTGTAGAATGCGGTTGTCTCCCCACACCACAAAGGTTCCGTCAGTGACCATTCCAGAAAAAATTGAGAAGAAAATTCACATTATTGGTACAGAACGTGTAAACAAAGAGCTGAGATCAAATCCCACATAATCTGTTGCATACAAATTGCATCAATGCACTTGGGAAAGGCATGAAACTTTCTTTTTCCTTTTAGTTACATGTTAAATGTCAGGGAAAACTCAGCTCTCTAGTCTTCAATGGCAGCCAGTCTAAAAGAGAAACTGAGTTGAATCCCATGGAGAAGCTAACAGGAATTCATTTTAATATCTTTCTCCAGTAGTTATAACAATTCACTGACAAGCAAAAAATGGAAGCTATGATTACCTATGTCCTGAAGAGAAATGGAATTAAAATAAGACAAAAAATTGTTTTTGTATACTGAACAATATTTAACAGCAGAAAGAGATCAATAAATGTTATTGATCTTGCAGAAACAGTTTCAGCATTTTAAATAAAGTTCCAAACAAATAAAAAAAAAGTTTTTTGAATATTAAAAAAAGCAATGTATAAAACAATGCTTATAGAAGTTCTTTGCTTCCCTCAATTTTTGAATAACCAGAGACAGTATAGAAATAGTAGAAAATCCCAACACCAGTATAGAAAAGTATTTTTTTGAAAAAACTTCTGTACACACCTTACGATTTTTTGATGTTATATCTTAAATGCTCATTATGTTGGATCAGGTGAGGAATCCTCATTATGATAGGATGAATGAGGAATTCACCCTATGATGGATTGGGTGAGTAACCTTTGCTAAAATGGATCAAATGAGGAATCCTCACTATGATGGGGTGGATAAGAAATCCTCATTATGTTGGGGATGGACAGGGAATTCGCTCTATGATGGATTGGGTGAGTAATCTTCACAATGACGGGATGGGTGAGGAATCCTCACTATGACGGGATGGGTGAGGAATCCTCACTATGACGGGATGGGTGAGGAATCCTCACTATGACGGGATGGGTGAGGAATCCTCACTATGACGGGATGGGTGAGGAATCCACCTTATGATGGATTGGGTGAGTAACCTTTGCTAAAATGGATCAAATGAGGAATCCTCACTATGATGGGATGGATAAGCAATCCTCATTATATTGGGGATGGGCGGGGAATCCGCTCTATGATGGATTGGGTGAGGAATCTTCATTATGACGGGATCGGTGAGGAATCCTCACTATGACGGGATGGGTGAGGAATCTTCAATATAGAGCATAGCCACAGTAAAAGTTGAAAAAAAGAATTGTTAATAAAGAGATTAATATACAAAATCCAATTTTGCTTGTCTTACCAGTTGTTCTTGGTGTAGTATTGGATGTGTGTTGTCTCATAACATTTGAATCAGCTAAAAACGTAAAAAGAATGGTCCAAATATAGCAACTTTATAAGACCTAAAGGACTGGATTTTCCTCCTTGGACCAATGAATTAGTAATAAAGCATTAATCAGTTACCTTTATTCAAACACTGAAAGTTTTATAATTATGTCTTTCATGATATTGGTAATATGTAAATGTGCTTCTTCAAAGCTGAAATTACTCATTTCAAATAATTTAGAGGAACAAAAGAGAGGAAGCTGTAAAGAGCCATGACTATCCATGTCCTGAAAGCATGCAACATATAGAAAACAAATTACTGATAATGGGATTGGGTGAGGAATCTTCATTATCTCGGATCGGTTGAGGAATCATCTCTATGTTGGGGCAGGTGAGGAGTCCTCACAATGTTGGGGCAGGTGAGGAGTCCTCACAATGTTGGGGCAGGTGAGGAGTCCTCAATGTTGGGGGCAGGTGAGGTCCTCACAATGTTGGGGCAGGTGAGGAGTCCTCACAATGTTGGGGCAGGTGAGGAGTCCTCACAATGTTGGGGCAGGTGAGGAGTCCTCACAATGTTGGGGCAGGTGAGGAGTCCCTCACAATGTTGGGGCAGGTGAGGAGTCCTCACAATGTTGGGGCAGGTGGGGTCCTCACAATGTTGGGGCAGGTGAGGAGTCCTCACAATGTTGGGGGCAGGTGAGGAGTCCTCAAATGTTGGGGGGCAGGTGAGGAGTCCTCACAATGTTGGGGCAGGTGAGGAGTCCTCACAATGTTGGGGCAGGTGAGGAGTCCTCACAATGTTGGGGCAGGTGAGGAGTCCCTCACAATGTTGGGGCAGGTGAGGAGTCCTCACAATGTTGGGGCAGGTGAGGAGTCCTCACTATGTTGGGGCAGGTGAGGAGTCCTCACAATGTTGGGGGCAGGTGAGGTCCTCACAATGGGGGCAGGTGAGGAGTCCTCACAATGTTGGGGCAGGTGAGGAGTCCTCACAATGTTGGGGCAGGTGAGGAGTCCTCACAATGTTGGGGCAGGTGAGGAGTCCTCACAATGTTGGGGCAGGTGAGGAGTCCTCACAATGTTGGGGCAGGTGAGTAGCACTTCATTCTTTATTTCTCATCAAGTTGATAAAGGACACAGGCATGTCCAAAAACTACAACTTTAAAATATTTCTCTTTGTGCTTCAGTTTAGTCAAAAAAGACCTACTAATATGTAATAAATATAATCAGTATTATTGGCAATGTTTTTTATCATTTTGTTGTCTTTTATTCCTTGAATTTCATTAACTGGCCTATTAAAGATTATATATATATATATATATATATATATATATATATATATAAAGGTAAAGATCAAATACAAATCAAAATCTGACAAGATGATAAGATCAAATAGGAAATGTTTATCAGTCTAACAAGTTTTACTTTTAATAAAGTTTCATCAGAGAATGAGATATAGAGAAAAAGAAGAACTTGTGAGGTTGATATATACATATATGTATGTGTGATAAGATAAAGAACAAATAGGAAATGTTTCTAAATCTAACATGTTTTACTTTTAATAACGCTTCATCAGAGATTGAGGGAATTATTTTTGTCTCTTTTCTCTCAATCTCTGACAAAGCTTTAATAAAACCAAAACATGTTAGATTGATATACATTTCCTATTCTTTATCATATATATATATATATATATATATATATATATATATATATATATATATATATATATTACTACTTGGTTCTAAGCACACCCATCTGTCAGGGTGGCTAAACAAATCCCTACTACAGACACTTGTTCTATTGTTTATACTGCAACTATACTGAGCAGACAATAGTTACAGTTTCTGGAGGAGAGCATATAATCTAGTATGATCAATATTGCCTTATGTGGGGTGAAATGAAAAAAGAAACAGATTTAAAATGGCTGATTTAAAATGAAAATAAATAAAAAGAATAAACAAGAATCTGAGCCATTGGCACACCAAAAATTTGACAAGATCTTGGCTCATCAAGACATCAGATGTAGAAGATGACATAAGCTTTAAAAAATGAAAGATCCTCCATGAATTTAGAGAAAAAAAAATAAAAGAACAAAACTATTTTCAATTAGTATAATAATTTAATAATTCGGGTTAATTATTAAATGAATCAAAAAGTGCATGGGTTCAAATTTCTTGTAATGACAACCAGCCAAGGGCAGGCCATGGCTTGTTTAAATATTGCATGCTGTCATGTATAGATCTGTATCATTTCAATAAAGTATTATGATAGTTTGACAATGTATAGCAACCAATAAAAATTAATTCATAGCTTCTTAAAAATCTGGAACAGATGTGAAGTGTTCCATGGCACATTTTCTTCTGATATACAAGAAATTAAAAAAAAAAAAAAAAAAGCATAAAAAACTTGAAAGTAAAAAGTGCCACTCTAGAGTGACCCTTAAATACTAAATTGGCTGATTGAGCAAAAGACTGTGCATATATATATATAAGTGAACATTGAAGTCAACACTTAGAGGTAACAGGATGTTTCATGCTAGACGCAATCATCAGACCACGATTGTGTCTAGCATGAAACAGCCTGTTGCCTCTAGTGTTGACTTCAATGTTCACTTTTATATTTACACACACTATCTCTGATATTGAGCACTTTATCCCATAAATACAGCACACCATAAGATATATATATATATATATATATATATATATATATATATATATATATATATTTAGGCAGCATTTTTCATTCATACATGAAAACAATAAACAAAAATTAAAAAATCCTTGAAGCTATATACATCAAACAGTTGAAACCTAACCTAAACAAAATCAACTATGGAATCTCTACAAATATCCTTAAATGTCTATAACTAGTAACAGAAGCCATTGGTCTATACCAACGGCTTCCCATACTTAATACTTCTTGAATTCACTCTTGCGTGGTCATGTGCGACGTCATGAGCTGCGGTGCAATTTTCACTTCTAGCATCTTATATGCACGTTTATCATTGCTTGGAAATCATCCATGTAAACAATAAGGGACTATCATCACTGTCTTGTCTGTATAAATTGCTTAATATATTGTACAGTAATTGACATCTTTGATAATAGCTTATGTAAGCTGAAAGCTTAGATTGGATTAAAAAATATAGATCAATATTGTGATTTTCTTTCTTTGTTTAATGATAATGCTATTAAGCTTATCAGATGTTATGAAAAGAATTTACATAAAATAAATAGACAACACTTGTCTATATTATTTAATGAAACATTATATATATATATATATATATATATATATATATATATATATATATATATATATATAAATAAACAATAAAATCCGAAATCACCTCATATAGGAATAGCCTATTTTGGCAGATGAAGATATTGTTTTTTTTTTTTTTTAGGTTTCACAGTTAAATTTATACTTATTCGTATTGGAGCTTCCAGCGTGAATGCCAAGCAGTATGGCAGGCCATTTCCAAATTTCTGGCAGAGTGAATTGCGTCATTTTGCTCTTTTTCTCTCAAATGGTATCCCCCAGGCCCTATGATACTGTGCAGTCAAACCACGCACATCATAAAAATTAAGAATATAAAATGGCGATAATTTACCCATCGCACCCTATATATATATATATATATATATATATATATATATATATATATATATATATATATGAGTATATTTGCAGCAAAAAGTAACAACACCATTTCTATTTATTAACTTTTACTGAACAAAAATAAATTAGTTTAAGAAAATTTATAAGTATTGCCACATTGAAATAAGATTTGTTATGATAAACAAGCTATTTAACATGTTCAAAATGCTCCACTTCCTGGTCAATACAATGCTGAACCTGATCAGCAACACTTCTACGACACGTTTTGACATGAATCTCAGAAAATTTATCAGAAGTTATGTGTTTTAGTTCAGGAATTGTTTTCAGTTTGAGCCTGTAAACAAAATCTTTAAGTCGCTTCTCTGTGCCTTTTCTATACTTTCATTGTAATTGCTTTGATGAACTTTCATCTATGGTACATAGAATTAATGAATTTAAGCATTATACAAGACTGGCATAAAGGTTTCATCATTTTACAGTTGATACGGCTTTTGTAACTGTAGTTTCTATGCTAATAATTTCTTCTCTTGCACTTCTCACTTGTGGAACTCTTCTTGCTTTTCCATCGACTTTGATCTTCAAAAATTGAAATGCAATGTCAATTGTTATCTTCTGTCTTAATTCCAGTTCTTTTTTCTTGTTCTCTCTCCTTAATAATGTTTTCTTTTTCTCATATTCTCTAATGCTTAGTAACCACTTGCATCTTAGTGGCTTTATTACCATGCTTGAGGTGCAATGATTAAAAAAAAGAAAAAAAAAAGAAGGAAAGTACACACCACAAAAAAAAGTCTGGTGGTGTTAGGTCTGATGTTGAGTGATGGCCACTCAATCCACATCGTCCTATCCACCTCAGCTCAAAATTAAAATTTAACCATTCCCAAATACATAAGCCATCTTAAACTAATGTAAGTTATTTTTGGTCAATAATCTAAAGAAGGAATGTATTTTTTATTTATTAATCTGACAGATAAAAAAAAAAATTCCATTGCTTCTTTAGAAATTGCTTTGTTTACGTTTGGGTATAAAACAAAGAAGATATGATTATTTTGAGGAATCTAGGATTTTGCTTAAAGGCACTGTTCAGACCTTGCAAGTTCAAAAAAAAGGCTTGTTTGTGGCAGAGTCAGCTAAAGCACTTTGGATCTAACAACAATTTCCCTCTGCCCATGGGAATGCAGGTTCAAATCCTGCCAGAAAGCATATATATTTCTTTATTAAGATCTTGAATATTCAGGCCAGTAGATGAAAATAAATAAATATACTGCTTAAGAAACAAACGGAGAATCTATTCAAATATGAGCATCCACTAAAAATAACGTTTAAAGTGATTAGAAAATTATTAAATAAAAAACATGTTATTGCTTTGGACTCGCACTGCTTACTGTATGTCTGTGGGGTTGTCTGCGTACTCAAAAAGAAAACTTGCTCTTGTCAGCAGGCAAATGAAAGCATTGACAGATAAATTAAAAGGAGTCAATAAAAAATACACGAACCCTGCCATAATTTGTCAACAACTCTACTGGCAAAGTAGAACACGTTGTTGGCCATGTTGGCGTAACTTCCTCCCATTGCTATGGGTAAGGCAGCCTGCTCTCCCAGGAGTACGTCTGCAGCCAACAGGTGGTCCATGAGAGTTTTGATAATCTCTGTTTGATATTCCCGTTGCTGGGCCCTCAGAGCATGATCGGGCATTGCCTGAAAAGAGAAGAGAAAGAAAATCCAATTTGTATTTTCAGTCAGCTACATTTAATAGCATTCAGGAATAATGTTATACTTAAAAAACCGAAGCATGGGTCGCTAATTAATAAGAGGTCAAAACTTGGAATTAATCTGGTAATAATGACATTAAAACAATTCCCGAATCCTGAAATGTAGTCCCATATAACTTCTTACAACAATGTGAAATAAAAGAAATGTAAAATTTATAAATATCTATTTGAAAATCTTGTTTGGTAATTAACCTTTTGAGCCCTGACCACTGCTTTACTGGTAATGGAGAAAAATGGCATAATGCCCAGCCACCAGTTGAATGGTAGTTAAACACTTGTGTCAGGTTTTGCTATTGGTTGCCTTATTTTGAAGAGCCAATCAGAAAAGTCGTAATATTCTGATGTCATTGAACGTTATAACAACATGTCGGTGACTTTTCATTGTGTTTTGTGCATCTTTTTTTGAATAAAAAAGATCATTTTTATCATGAAGCGTGCAGAGTCTCAACCTGGACCGTCAGGGAAGCAATCAGGAAGTTATATTTTTTTTAACTATTTTTATATCTACTGTGAAACATTACATATCAGTTATTTTCTAATTTTGACTCAGGATCTCAGGCAGAAGGATTAAAATTGTTTAGAAACGCAGGGCTTAAAGGGGTAAATATCTTTTTTATTGTTATGGGCCAAATAATCATCCCACAGAAAGAACAATAAGTTATAATAGTTCCCTGATCTCTATAACACCATTGATTTCAAACTCTTCCCAATCTTTAGAACAGGATTAGAGGTTAATTCCTTGTTTCCTATTTACACTGTTTTCAGACTGATGTCCTCATCTTTGTTGCCATATCCACAACATTTCGGCTGTTGTACACTTCAGCCTTTTTCAGGTGATTGGAATTTTGAAGCGTCAACTGGGATAGATTGTTCTAGTTCCACATGCCATGCCTCTTCCGGGTATCTCAGTATCAGTTATTTTCCCTTTAACCCAACTCTCCAAGTTTTTTTTCACCTATGCTGTAGCCAGGTATTGAGCTCACAATTCTTTGGTTCAAGTCACTGGATTACTTCAACCAATGCTTTTATCCACTGGGTCATGCATCCTTGATACAATAAAGGGTTCGGCTTGAAAAATTCCAATCATCTTGAAGAAGGCCTGAGTGTACAATAGCTGAAACATTGTGAATATGGTATCAAAGATGAGGACAACAGTCCAAACAATGTAAACAGTGTAAATAATTACAATACCTTATCTCAGAAATATAAATATATATATATATATATATATATATATATATATATATATATATATATCCTTGTTTCCTTTTTATCATTGGGTTTTGTGATGTCAACAAACACTTTTGTTGCTACTTTTGTAATGTCAACAAATACTCATTGTCATTTTTGTAATGCTCATTGTAATAGAGACTTTGTAATCGCAGATACAACTATAGTAACACCGTTGAACAATACTGGTGTAGACGCCTTCAAATAACACTTGCACTAACAGTACTTGCTCGATAATACTCGCTTGAATAGTAACCACTTAATTGGGATCCAATAGTAATCCGTATAGTGATCACTTAGATGCCACGCTAATTCCCATATATACGTTTCCTTTACCATCATGTGATCTACAAAATGGGATCACCTGTGTTTGCTCTCTGGAGATCTGTGTTCAAACTCCAGTGTCGGCGGCAACACTTTATTCGTATATAACATTGAGTTTCCAGTTCTTTCTATGTTTTTTTTTTTTTTTTTAATGATACATGTTTTCTGCTACCACCAGGATTTAGTTGTTGCCGTTTGAGATTAATTGGAGATAAAGCAATGTTTTTTTATAATGCATTTATTAACATTAATATACAGACAGTTTATTGTAGCTCAGAGCCACAACATGAAGTGAAGTGTCCAAATTATTACTATGCTAAGAGGTTGCCACACATTGAATGTATGTAGGGAAGTAGTGCCCATTGATACTGTTCCAGTAGCTATTTGTGTCTTAGTGGCATTATCACCTTTCTTGGGGTGAATCGATTTAAAAGAAAAAAAAAAGATAAAAAAAACAAGATATCTATTTTATAAATTTCTTTTTGCCATTTTGTTACGACAACTTGAATTTCCCAATCTGGATATAGCTACATTGTGCTGATGAAGTGGGAAAGATTTGAATAAGTTTCTAATGTTTAACAACTAATAATTAATACTTGCATTCATTCCTGACCACTGACAATCCCTTTATTTCTCATTTGCAATGCATTCCTATAGTAAAACACTGCTACAAAATAATAATTATACATATAATAGCCCTATTCTATCAGTAATGATTGCATTCATTCCTGACCACAGACAATCCCTTTCTTCCTCATTTGCAATGCATTCCTATATTAAAACACTGCTACAAAATAATAATTATATGTATAATAGCCCTATTCTATCAGTAATGCTTGCATTCATTCCTGACCACTGACAATCCTTTCTTCCTCATTTGCAATGCATTCCTATATTAAAACACTGCTACAAAATAATAATTCTACATATAATAGCCCTATTCTATCAGTAATGCTTGCATTCATTCCTGACCACAAACAATCCCTTTCTTCCTCATTTGCAATGCATTCCTATATTAAAACACTGCTACAAAATAATAATTCTACATATAATAGCCCTATTCTATCAGTAATGATTGCATTCATTCCTGACCACAGACAATCCCTTTCTTCCTCATTTGCAATGCATTCCTATATTAAAACACTGCTACAAAATAATAATTATATGTATAATAGCCCTATTCTATCAGTAATGCTTGCATTCATTCCTGACCACTGACAATCCCTTTCTTCCTCATTTGCAATGCATTCCTATAGTAAAACACTGCTACAAAATAATAATTATACATATAATAGCCCTATTCTATCAGTAATGATTGCATTCATTCCTGACCACTGACAATCCCTTTCTTCCTCATTTGCAATAGATTCCTATATTAAAACACTGCTACAAAATAATAATTATACATATAATAGCCCTATTCTATCAGTAATGGCATTCATTCCTGACCACTGACAATCCCTTTTTTTCAATGCATTCCTATAGTAAAATCATTAGCAATGATTTCCATTATACATATAATAGCCCTATTCTATCAGTAATGCTTGCATTCATTCCTGACCACTGACAATCCTTTCTTCCTCATTTGCAATGCATTCCTATAGTAAAACACTGCTACAAAATAATAATTATACATATAATAGCCCTATTCTATCAGTAATGCTTGCATTCATTCCTGACAACTGACAATCCCTTTCTTCCTCATTCGCAATGCATTAGTAAAACACTGCCATACATAGAATAGCCCAATTTTATCAGCAATGGCTGCTTTTTTTATATTAATATGACTTGTTAATAACATGTATTGATATCTAGTTGTGTTACTGTAGCTGAAACAGGAGAACTACCCAACCAATGAAAAAGTACCAGCACATTCTCTTCCGCAAAAAAATTCTGATGAAGCTTAAATAAAAGAGAAACCTGTTAAATTTATACATGTTTCTTATTCTATCATTGTCAGATTTGAATCCAGATTTGATTCTCATTCAGGAACAGGTACCACAAGAAGTGGTTGCAAATGAGCAAGTACCGTTGAGACAAAGAACAGAAGCTGTGGAGAACCATGATCACTCTTATCATGAAAAGGCATAGCATATAGAGAGAATCCAACTTAGAAGTTCCTGTACCACAACAAGCATGTCAAGTATCAAAAGTGGAGAAAACTTTAATATTATCTTCACAAGACAAACATTAGATATCGTACTGAGGCTTACCTCTAAAACTAAGTCCACTACGGCACCGGATTTGTTGGTGTTGAGCTGAGAGAAACTGTCCACAACAATTGTTCTTAAGAAATCGATCACAAATTTCCGAGCAGAATGACCCGTTAAAAAACCTGTTGGATAGAAACAAAAGAATTTGGAAATTTAAATAATTGGTACATGTTAATTTAAATATTAATATATTTAACATCTTAATTCAAATCTTGTAAATTAAAATCAATTTACAATATGTTTCAGTTTCCAAATCAGCACTTTTAGTCATTGAAAATCCTTTAATGGAGGGTGTAATACTTTAATTCTATTCATGGCTCTAGTTCTCATTGGCTTCTCGCACCTTCTAAGTACTTGATTAATCTCTCTTTTTTACAGCTTTTGCAGATTATTTAAATCCAGAAAATATTTTTAGATTGTAGGATATTTTTTTTAGTTAATAAATATTTAGTGATACAAGTTTTACTAATTAATCCATAGCTAGGGGGAGAAAATGTGGATTCATACATGATCAGAATTTGATAAAGAAATTATGTGGAAATAAAGTGGGGGATCAATTTTATATTACAACCAATATATAAAATGATCCCTCATTTTGTATATATTTTTTCTATACATTTATACTCTAGAGAATGTAGAGAAATCTAAAAACATGCCTTTGCAACAAATAAATATTTGATCGATTGATTGTTTTTGTTTGTTTTTTTTTACAGCTTATCAACCCTTTATTTAAATCAAAAAAATATTTTTAGATTGTAAGATTTTTTTTTTTTGAGATAATGATTTTAGTGACAAGTTTTAGTAATTAACTCATATCTGGAGGAGAAGAAGGGATGGACTGATAACTTTCCCAAGGGTATTTTCACATAACTAGATTTGGAATATGGTTCTCCAATTTCCAATTCTGTGCAGTTATCCATTATACAATGCACACATCAAAGCTTACAGCACCTGGTATTCCCAAGAGTTCACCCATCTAGATACTGACTAGGCTTGATGTTGCTTAACCAGTGATTGTACAAGAATCATTGTCCCAAAATGATATGGCCATAAACCTTCAAGATACTCTTCTTGTGAAACTATGAGCTTTATAAGATGATGATGATGATGCCATTGCTGGAGGCATTCTTGGAACTTATTTTCCAGAATGACTGATAGAAATGTAGTAACATATTGCCAGATGTCCAGGATCTCAGCAAATCTTAATCATTTCAGTGAATTTTCAAATTCTGGAAAATCACAAGCAACCAACATCAAAAGAATAAGGTGGATGGTCTAGTTTTGTAATGGGTTTCTTAATCAGGAACTGAGAGCCCCCACCACCACCACCACCACACACACACACACACACACAAATGCATCATTTTTCTCATTCTCCAAACTTCTGTTAAAATCTGCCTTATTTTTTTTTTCCTCTTCATATTTAAGATGCCTTCACAAAACCCTAAATATGTCTTGGAGAGAGAGAATCAGGAATGAGAAAGTGCTCAGGTAGGTAAATTCTAGAAACATTAGTGTAATGGTAGCAGGTAGGTGGATCATCACCGGCACCTGCTTGCATCCTAGCATCCTCTCTCTTTATTCCCTTTATCTCCTCTGGTGGCGGTAACAGAGATGGTTGGAAAGACCTAGTCTACTCTTGAAGAGTCGTGAGCAAGAGTCACAGAAAAGTGTGGGTGGTGGACACAACTGGAAAAGTCAGACCCTCCTGACAGCATGTCACAGATCCTCTTCATATTAACAATTAAACTCTAAAGTATCGGTACCCCCTCGGATGGTCTTATGCCAGGAAGGCTGATTTACAGCAACGGTTTCCCAGGTCTCAGGGTAGATATGGGCCTGTGTCAACAGATGCTTGAAGCGTCATTTTGGGTTTCCACATAGCCTCTTATGAATTTTCCAAACAAGATGATACGCGGGAGTTGAGTGGGACATATTCTGGACACATGACCCACCAAGCAGAGGCAATATTGAAGGAAATAGTTCACTAGTCATATCTCATTTTGAGCAGCTATCATTGCTCCACCCACACATCTAACTGACCTTTCTTGATCCACTTGTGCTTCATAGTACATTTGCCATAATCCATTTTTAATGGGGCTAATATTTCACAAAACTTTTACCAATCTTCACACAAAATTTGATATTAATCCACTGTTTCATATTACTTTCACACATTTTCAGCTAACAGTATAACATGAACACATACAATTTCCTCTACTTCTTGTAACAAATGGCATACCTAGTCTGCTTCTCAAGAAAGCAGAAGTTGAAATGTTTCCATGTGCTTGGGTACAAATTTTTGTCTATGTCATTCTAGCAATTAAATTGTCTCACCTTGTATGTCTTGTAAAAATTTTAAAAATGGAATAATTCATGCAAGTGAAAATATTTCAGGGGAGATAACTGCACAAAGACTTCACTACTCAAAATGAAGGGAGATAAGAAATGCTATAAAGACATTTAGTAGGAAAATTAATGACAAAATGGAAAAAAAATTTGTTTTATACAGTTCGTCCTTTAGGACTTCATCTGGCTCAAGAGATGTTTACATTGATGTAACTACACATGCACACAAAGTGGAGGGTATGCTAACATTTTTAACTTTTTATTTATATTTTTTTAATATGTGTTTGGGTATATGATATGTTCAGCAGAGGAGGGACGTATTCAACAATAAAAAAAAAAAAAAAAAAAAAAAAATCAAAAATTGCTTTTTTCACTGCAAATTATTCCTTATATCATATCCAAGTATTTTATAAAAAATTAGAGCTCACTATTTCAAGCTCAAATAGGTTTATAGGTCATAACCATGCAATGAGATGAGGTAACATAAACCGTAGATTTGTCTGCGGAATATCATTATATTATTGTTACATAATTATAGTGAAATCATTAAGGATTTTTGTTAAAAGCAATTTTATATTTGGTCGTATATTATTTTAAAATATTCCTTTTTACAGGTTTTATTTCTGAAATACAATAAGATCATTCTAAATTTCAGAATTTCGTTATTGCCCATCAAAATGACTGGAAGAAAGCGATCTAAAAACAACAACGAAAAAGAAAGGTAACAAAGCGTAAACAAAATAGTCCCAGTTTGTTCAACTTAGGAAACTTAGCATTGCAGTCAAAGTATATCTAAAATGCTGCCAATTACAAAGGAGAAAATGAAAAATACTTAACAAATCAAATATAACCTTAAAATTTATATTATTTTTATTTATTTGTTATATAACTAAATACAAAATTGCCAACAATGTTTTCATAAAACTTGATATTTCTTGTAATAAATTTTTAAGAACTATCATTGTTATTATTTTACTTAAATATAAGGTAGTCCTACATTTACAATTCCTTATGGCTAACCATGAAAAAAAAATGCTGATCAAAACTGCCAGAAACCTTTAAGCGCATATTGCTGCAAAATTATCAAATGTTGAATACGTCCCTCCTCTGCCGAACGTGTGATATAGACTAGACAATTTCATTTAGTTTCTTTTTGTTTTTGTCTATATCATTATCACTTGTTATTAAGTATCCCACATTGTGATAACAGAAGATCTGTCAAGAAAGGTGAAATGTTGTATGGATTTCAAAATACTTACTGTTGTAATGTTTTTCTGGAGTTTTTACATAAACAATGCTTGTGTCCGACTCTGGGAATGGCTGGAAAAAGTAGATTTAGAGTTATTCATAATAATATTCTGCAATGATTACTATCATACATGAAGAGAAATACATTGAAAAAAATCTTAACTTCTTCAAGCCCCTCCCCATATCACTTCATCCTTAATGCTAAGAAACAAGCATAGAAAATTCACAAGACACAAAATTTATAATTCTACCCTTCAACTGAGAAAGGATATTATTTCTTTTTGAATTACGTGGGATTAATTTCTTGATCCCATTTATACTGCATTGGTTCTGTGGTATAATAAATACATATAGTCACCGGCTATTTGTAACAAAATATATATATATATATATATATATATATATAATTATTTTTGTATAAAAAAAAAAAATTTATAACGTAAGTATGTTATAAAATCACTACAGTAGTGATTTTATAACATACTTATGTTATAATTTTTTTTTATAAAAAATAATTATATCTGCTCTACTTTGTATTGAGCACTTTTTAAGAATAGTAATTGTTGATTATTGGAATTCATTCCGTATATACCAATTATATATATATATATATATATATATATATATATATATAGAGAGAGAGAGAGAGAGAGGTAATATTAGTGGTAAATATGCACATACATATGTAAAATATATAAATATATATACATAGGTGCATACACATACATGTATATTTTTTGAATAAAAATTCCAAAAGGATAGAATCCAGGTAGAACTCAATGTCCAGGACAGAGTAAGGGTATAATAAAAAGGCTTAAACACTTATATATATATATATATATATATATATATATATATATATATTATATATTTATATTTCATTCATATTTCAAGGTGCTTTTATTTAGTTTTTTTTTATACAATTTCTCATGCGATCTAATAATTTTTTCTTTTCAGATGATAAATTATATAAAAACTGTCCGAATGTTCTTTTTATCTGAGCGCTTTCAGCTATACATTTAGCCATTTTAAGGGATTAAATATTTTAACTGTTAAATAGTTTGTTGCATGTATGTATTTATATAATGTTTTCATTTATCAAAACACGGTCAATATATTGTGTCCATGTTCAAAGTTAATATTATTAAGTGTTATTTTTTCGTTTTTATTAATAAGGCATCCATTAAGAACATTCAGACAGTTTTTATATAATTTATCATCTGAAAAGAAAAAATTATTAGATCACATAAGAAATTGTATAAAAAACTAAATAAAAGTACCTGGTCTGTCGTATTCAATGAAATGTGCATGTAAGAAGGATTGCTGCCTAAATACAAATATATATATATATATATATATATATATATATATATATATATATATATATATCTGAGATGAGGTATTGTAATTATTTACATTGTTCAAACCCGTTGTCCTCATCATTATTGCGATGTTCAAGACATTTCAGCCTTCTTCAGAGGATTGGAATTTTGAAGTGAATCTGTAGAAATCTGGAGCATACAATGGCTGAAACATTGTGAAAATGGCAATAAAGATGAGAACAACAATCCCAAAAATGTAAAATATATATATATATATATATATATATATATATATATATATATATAGATATATATAGATATATATAGATATGTATGTATGTTGTAATGTCCATATAACCACTCTGATGATGGCTCATGTGAGCTGAAAGCTTAGCTTGAGGAACAGCATAATAAAAAAATATCCATATCTTGGACAGTTTTTGTTTTTATTTTCTCCCGAAACTAAAGCTCACGATCAAACATAATAGACATTCATTGCCTGTTATATTTAACAGTATATGTTTGAATAATGATCTGCTACACCATACACACACACATATATATATATATATATATATACACACACACGTTTCTCTGCTTAGCTAAAAATCAGCAGATATTCAGTAGCCTATCAAAAAGATAATGAAAGCCATTCTTAGGAAATTGTGTCTTACCTTGAATTCTTCCACTGGTGTAGTGACATCACTGTCACTGTCAGGTAGTTTATGTGGGAAGAGTGTAGCCGCAAGCGCAGAGATGAAATCAGCTGAACTACACACCGAGGCAAAGTCAGAGTTGTTATTGTATAAAAATAGCAGGAACTGCATTAGTGTGACAGGATAGTCATTGACCCAGGAGCCCGTTTCCTCAGTCTGCAAAGAAATATCAAATTGGGTTAGCAAGACTGCTATATGCTATTGTGTATGCTATCATGCATTTTCTACCAAGACGGATATGTGTCATCGTGCCTATTCTACCAAGATGGGTATGTGTCCTCGTGCGTATTCTACCAAGACGGATATGTGTCATCGTGCGTATTCTACCAAGACGGATATGTGTCATCGTGCGTATTCTACCAAGACGGATATGTGTCATCGTGCGTATTCTACCAAGACAGATATGTGTCATCGTACGTATTCTACCAAGATGCATGTGTCATCATGTGTATGCTACAAAGAGAGATATATGCAATTGTGTATCTGCTATGACGATCAATATACATTGTGTGTATGACAAAGTTTGATACACAATCATGTGTAAACTATGACAATATGCAATTGCATGTGTTCTTTGAAGATTATTGTGCAAGCATGTATATACGATGAAGAACAATACACGATCATGTGAATGCTATAATAATCAATCCATGATTGTGTGTATGCTCTAAAGATCAATATAGAATCATTCATTTTGCTCTAAGACTGTCATAAAAATTTATAAGTAGGATCATAAAAAAAATATTATAGTAAAAATGTATCAAACTTTTGTAATTGTCAGTGATCTGTTATAGTGAGTGTAGAAAAACATGAGAAATTGATATTCTGTGGTTAAGAGAAGCTCTCACTTAATCTTATTGTAGATGAGAAGGAACATAAATTCTAACAACCATGACATAAAAAAAAGAAATGTTCTTCTTCTTCCAAATTGACCCCTTTTCAACATTAATGGATATGTGGATCAATAACTGACAATAATGGAAATATTTACATTCAGTGTTAATCTGATCATTAATAGATCTGCGAGTAGTAAGGCAATATGTAGTAACAGTTTACTGTCAAAATCAGACTATTTCTTTATTTTACTTAAGCCTATAAGCATTTATTTGTTTCAAGGATAGGTAAATATTAGTCAATTATAGCTGAGTCTAAAATTTTACTTGGTTCAGGGGATAAGTAAGTATTGACCAATTAAGTTTGTGTCTTGAAGCATTTACCTTTTTGTGGGTATAGGTAAATATTGGTTATTTATATTTGAACCTGCAAGCATTCTTTTGATTCAAAGATAGGTAAATATTGATTGATTAAGCTTTAGTCTAGAAGCATTTGTTAGTTTGGGAATAGATCAATATTGATCATTTAAGTTTGAGTCTATAAACATTTATTTGGTTCAGAGATTGGTAAATATTGATTATTTATAATTGAGCCTATAAACATTTACTTTTTCAGGGATAGGTAAATATTGGTCGGTGTATCATATGAATTAGATCCCAAATGCTAAAATGTTTCTTTAAATTAGAACCCAAATGCTAAGACGCTCCTTTAAATTACAGCCCAATTGCTAAGATGCTCCTTCAAATTACAGCCCAAATGCTAAAATGTTTCTTTAAATTAGAGCCCAAATGCTAAGACGCTCCTTTAAATTAGAGCTCAATGGCTAAGACGCTCCTTCAAATTAGAGCCCAATGGCTAAGACACTCCTTCAAATTAGAGCCCAATTGCTAAGACACTCCTTCAAATTAGAGCCCAATTGCTAAGACACTCCTTCAAATTAGAGCCCAATTGCTAAAATGTTTCTTTAAATTAGAGCCCAATTGCTAAGATGCTCCTTTAAATTAGAGTCCAATTGCTAAAATGTTTCTTTAAATTAGAGAACAAATGCTAAGACATCCATTTAAATTAGAACCCAAATTCTAAGATGACATTTAAATTAGAACCCAAATGCTATGACATTTGTTTTAATTAGAGACCAAATGCTAAGACACCCGTTTAAACTAAAATCCAAAAGGTAGACACCATATCTTATACCCAGCCATTATCCATTACACCTCACAGGCACAACTACAAGAAGAAGGATATCATGAATCATAATGATCCTATTGCAGATTGTCTCATACTTACTTCATTCAGCATTGATCTGACCATTGATAAAATCACCATCGACGCTTCTAAACAGATTTCAATTTTGCTTTCTTTATTTGCCATAAATACTGGTCTGCTGGCAGGAACACCAAAGATTACTGTCCAAATCACATCTAAATTCAGCTGAAAAACAAAAAGAGAAAAATATACGTATATATATATATATCTCAACACATCATTTCTGCTATGGCTGCCTCAGTATGTTATTTAGTGTCTAAGTGCATATTTATGTGCATCTTTACAACCATCATGGCATGCCAGTGACAAGACATTTTGTTAGACTAATAGCCTCTTATCCCTCCTACCTCGGAAGATAAAATATTGATGGAAGACTGCTTTATCCAACTGCTCATCCACCTACTCTTCTACCAACCATCATGACATGCCAGTGACAAGACATTTTGTTACACTAATAGTTTCTTATTACTCCTGCTTAGCCAGGTAAAGTATTGATGGAAGTGTCATTTAACTGACTGCTCATTCAACTACTCTTTTCATTGTGGCACCACACACATCCAAGTGGTTACCCATCTAGGTAATGACCGGGCTGGACATTGCTGATCAAACGAGAGCCAGTGTTTCAACAGGATATGACCGTTATTATGGTGGGACAATGTTTTATCTACATGCTCATTCACCTACTCTTTTTATTGTGGCACCCAAGAGTATTTGTACATTAGTGAATGTAACGAATCCAACTGTAATCTAGGGAAGGTTACTGAATAGAATAATCACACGAATGTTGGTAATGAACGATGATACTTAGGACAAGAACAACATATATAAGATTCACCAGTGGTGCATAAAAGAAGTAGTCAACTGCTAGAAGTGAGACAAGTGAATTCCATGATGAATCTTCAACTGCAGACCAACATACAGTATTTACTACTGCATTCATGGGAATAGGGACATACCTATTATCATCCATAGGTATGCTACAACACTAAAAATGACAAAATTTAGGAGCAGAACATTATAATAGTCTTTACTACTCTTTTGATTCATGACCGATTAGGCACAAGTTTCTTTCTGCAGTAGACTGGTTGCCAACCAAGGCTAAAGGACCCAGTCTGACTTGCTATCCAACCTATAGCTGGGCAGGGGGAGAAGACATGAATCCATACCTTTCCCAAGATTATTTGCGCATAAGTGAATGCAATGAACTCAACCAGAATTCAAACTTGTATCTCAGATTCAAAAATCCGAGCTGCAATCCATTACTCCACCATACCTCTTCAGGCCAGAAGTATTGGATTCATAATTTCAACTTCTTATTCTGATCCATTAACCATTGCACCACACCATAATTTATAGAAGCATTGTTAAAAATGTATTTCATAAAAAGACAATATTCCAGCCACCTCTTCCTCTTAGATAGGTTTGCCTATCATCCTGTTCACAGTCTTCCCCAGTCTTTCAAACAGGGGTAGAGGTTTATCCCTTGTTTCCAGTTTAGGATTGGGTTTCTGGTTCCTTCTAAAGTCTGCTTCAGCTCTGTCCTCCTAATGTCTGTGCCAGAATTCTGAAACACTGTATTGATAAAAGTGTCATTTATCTGACTTCTCATTCAACTACTCTTTTCTGTTGTAGCACGACACACATCCAAGTGGTTACCCATCTAGGTAATGACCAGGCTGAACATTGCTTAATGTTGCCGATTGAATGAGGGCCAGTGTTTCAACATGATATGGCCGTTATTATGGTGGGACAGTGGTTTATCAGCATGGTCATTCACCAACTCTTTTTATCATGGCGCCACATGCACATCCAGATGGTTGCTCATCTAGGTAATGACCAGGATAGACATTGCTTAACATTGGTAATTGGACAAGTGTCTGTGTTTCAAGATGATATAGTCATAATCCCATCTATTGTGGAAAGAAATTTAAGGTGTGGTTTCATGATAGCAAAGCCAGAAACAAATCAACTCACCTGTATGTCAGCAGGTAATTCATTGATGCGTTGCCCCAGAAGTAATGCCATCAGTAAAAAGTACACTTCACATACATTGTTATGGTAGGGCAGAATCCACTGTAGTGCCAAGAAACCAGGAACATGGCAGACGTCTGTATTAATTTCTCGTTTCTGGTTTTTGTTTCCGCTCACATTCAATCCTAAAAAAAATAATATTAGAAAAAATAAAAATAAAAAAATTTGATCGTTAACACAGAAAGTTAAAGACTAAATGCTGTAACCTAGAAAAGGTTACTAAACAGAATAATCAAACGAAGGATGGTAATGAACGATGATACTTAGGACAAGAACAACACATATAAGATTCACCAGTGGTGCATAAAAGAAGTAGTCAACTGCTAGAAGTGAGTCAAGTGAATTCCATGATGAATCTTCAACTGCAGACCAACATACAGTATTTACTACTGTATTCATGGGAATAGGGACATACCTATTATCATCCGTAGGTATGCTACAACACTAAAAATGACAAAATTTAGGAGCAGAACATTATAATAGTCTTTACTACTCTTTTGATTCATGACCGATTAGGCACAAGTTTCTTTCTGCAGTAGACTGGTTGCCAACCAAGGCTAAAGGACCCAGTCTGACTTGCTATCCAGCCTATAGCTGTGCGGGGGGAGAAGACATGAATCCATACCTTTCCCAAGATTATTTGTGCATAAGTGAATGCAATGAACTCAACCAGAATTCAAACTTGTATCTCAGATTCCAAAATGCGAGCTGCAATCAATTACTCCACCATACCTCTTCAGGCCAGAAGTATTGGATTCATAAATTCAACTTCTTATTCCGATCCATTAACCATTGCACCACACCATAATTTATAGAAGCATTGTTAAAAATGTATTTCATAAAAAAGACAATATTCCAGCCACCTCTTCCTCTTAGATAGGTTTGCCTATCATCCTGTTCACACTCCTTCCCAGTCTTTTGAACAGGTGTAGAGGTTTATCCCTCATTTCATGTTTAGGATTGGGTTTCCGGTTCCTTCTAAAGTCTGCTTCAGCTCTGTCCTCGTAAAGCTTGTGCCAGAACTCAGAAATTTTATTTTCCCTATTGTCAGGTTCACACTCCTCACCAGGTTTTTGAAAAGGAGTAGAGGTTTATCCTGCATTTCCTGTGTAGGATTGGGTTTCTAGCTCCTTCTAAAGTCTGCTTCAATTCTATACTTCTAACCTCACCACCTAAAACTCTTAACTTTTATTTGCTATTTATTTATTTCCTAAACAGTCAGTTAGTCAAGTGCCATATATGATACATGCTTGGTCAATCATATCTGTTTTGATGCAATAGGCTGTTGTTTCTTTCTGCAGTAGAATGGTTGCCAAACAGGGCTGTCAGACCCATTCTGTCCAGCTATTCAACTTGGAGCTGGGGGTAGAAGAGATGGATTCATGCCTTTCTCAAGGGTATTGGCTCATAAGTGAATGTAATGAACCCGACTGGAATTCAAACTCAGCTCAATGATTACTCAATCTAAGCCGCAATCCATTACTCCACTTTGCCTCTTCAGGCCAGAAGAGTTGGATTCATGCCTTTCCCAAAGGTACTTGCTTGTAAATGAATGTAATGAACCCAACTAGAATTCAAACTCGGCTCAATGATTTCTAATTCCAAGCTGTCTTCCATTACAACCCTATCACTCAGTCTTTATTATCGATTAGTAAGTGTATATTTGTTATACTGGAACACACCTATTCTATAGTTAATAGACTCTCTCACCTATAATTAGTAGTAGTAGTCGTCGCGAAGTGGCTCAGTGAGTTGGTCAGTCAGTCGATGTCGGTTTTTGTTCAAGCAATTTCGACCATCCCTGATTCAGTCCAAAACATTATGAACTCTAGTCAATTTCTTTGTAAACTTTATATGAATGATGTCGGACATTAAAGTATCAGCCACCACAATTAGATTGCTGCGTCATTACTAATTATATCAAGTCCCTAACTTTTTGTACGTCGAACATATTTAGGACCGACTTAGTGAAATGGAAGCCTCCACTGTGAAACTACTCTACAACAATATTCCAGGGTTTGAAATTAACATTGTCTTTTCATTCTTGGGATGCTAAGACATTAGTTTGGGATGACTGATTAATTTCTTTTTGAATGATCCCAGGACAGCAGATATTTTTTCTAAAAGTAAGATATTTCCTAAAATAAAAAAAAAATTCTTACATCTCACCAATGGTGGCAGGATTTTAATAAAATAGAACATGCATGCACACAGATGCTGAAGTAAAAATAATAAATAAAACTTAAATGTAAAATGGTGACTAAAACCAGAGTAAAAAAAATGAACATTGAAAGACTTAAATCATGTGTCCAAACTTTTTTCAAAGAGGACCAAATTTGATGAGGTGAATATACATGAGGGGAGGGCCAACCATTCTCTTTGGCATTCTTTAAACCATTAAAATTAAATGAAAGGAACTATCTTATGAAAATTTTATAGCAAACAGCATATTTTTATTTCTTCATATGGATGACAAATTTAAACAGGTCTTACTCACTCAGCCTATCATATCTGAAGCCAATATAAGATTAAGTAAAATATGTCTGAGGAAAAAGAACTTTTAGGAAGCTATAATATATCTCAGGTTCATCTTAAACATTACATATTATTGGTAATTAATATTGCCTGTCAACTTTTCAGTTAAAAACATATGAAAAGGAACATAACATATTTCTTATTATTTCTTATTAAGAAGTAGAAAAAGTGACACAAATGCAAGTGTCCAAATATATTTATGACTGATTTTGACTAACAGAAAACAAATTCACTTAAATTTTAGAATTTACTCATCTCAGATGACCAAAAGAAATAACTTTCCTGCACTAATGTGAACGGTGATACTGAGATCTGGACTGTAGTATATAAGTCAGGTCTGATTCAATGGCAGTGATTTTAGAAATTGTCTGCAAAAGGTCAAGGTCAGGGTCTCATCACCAGAGAGCAGCCACACAGTAGTACTGCCATTACTGCCATCTTTTGCTAAAACATGAAATTGAATTTCTTAGCTGTGTACTTTATATGTTGACAATAATGGTGAGCCGTGATACATTCTATGACAGTGGACGGAGGGGGACATATGAAATGTGACCGCAAACTGTAACTGACCTTTATATAGAAATATCTAAATCTATATATACAGCAGGACAGACAGGTTCTATAGCCTTGGATGGCAACTAGTCTACCGCAAAAAGAAATGGCAACCTACTGCGGGAAAAAAATCTGCCTCGTCAGTCATGTATCGAAAAATGCATGATCACCCAAGCGTTAATCACACATGGCACATAACTGACTGAAATGTTCAGTTATCTTGTCCCTATCAGAGTTTCACAGAGATTACATCTACTCACTTAACATTTTAGAACATTAATAGTAATTTGTTCACGTATCTTGTCACTAACAGTTTCAAAGAGATTACATCCAATCATGGAACATTATATATATATATATATATATATATATATATATATATATATATATATATATATATTTGTTTGTTCCCAAGACACAACTTAAATGATACATAATACCTCAAACAATTTAGAATATTGTACCTTAAAACGACTGCAGTGCTAAATTTGATTAAAATTAAACAAGTTGTTCTTTAGCTAGGGCCATTTTTCTGTTTTCATGGCATTTTTAATAGGAAATCCAGTATTTGCTTTTGATACACATTCTGATATCAATCCGTGTATAGAAACAAACACTTGCATATTATATTCCAACTGTTATGTGTTTGAAAAATAATAAATTGTTGTATCCTTAAAAAGGTTACAAACAGACAAAGGTGGTACTCGAGTGGGAGGAACAGCAACACAGGTGTAGATGGAAGAAAGAGAGGTTTATTGTAAAAGAGAATACACTACTGAAAGACAGGGAGTCGACTAACACATCCCAAAGCCAGTCAGAGAGATAGACAGACAAACAGTCTCTGCTATGTCCTGTGCATACTACATATATTACTGATAAAATCAGTCCACAATAGGTAATAGGGAGAGTGGAATATTTCATTACAATAGAGAGAGAAAGAGATAGATAGACAGATAATGAAGAGACATAGATAGATAATGCTTAGATAAATAGATAATGGAACGACTCAGAAAGGTAATGTTGTATCCTTAAAAAGATTACAAACTGACAAAGGTGGTACTCAAGTAGAAGGAACAGCAACACGGCATAGATGGAAGAAAGAAAAGTTTATTGTAAAAGAGAATACACTACTGAAGACAGGGAGTCGAATAACACATCCCAAAGCCAGTCAGAGAGATAGACTGACAGACAGACAGACAGTTTGATAGACAGACTCTGGTATGTCCTGTGTATACTACATATATTACTGATATATCAGTCCACAATAGGTAATAGGGAGAGTGGAACATTCCATTACAACAGACAGAGAGAGAGAGAGACATAGATAGGCAGATAATGGAGAGACATAGATAGATAATGGAACGACTCAGAAAGGTAATGTTGTATCCTTAAAAAGGTTACAAACAGACAAAGGTAGTACTCAAGTGGAAAGGAACAGCAACACGGGCGTAGATGGAAGAAAGAGAGGTTTATTGTAAAAGCGAATACACTAGTGAAAGACAGGAAATGGACTAACACTTCCTGAAGCCAGTCAGAGACATAGACAGACAGACAGTCTGATAGACAGACTCTGGTATGTCCTGTGCATACTACATATATTACTGATATAGTCAGTTCACAATAGGTAATAGGGAGAGTGGAACATTTCAGTACAACATAAACATTCATAAAAGCATTATTAAATAAATTTAAATATTCATAACACAAGTATTTATACAATCCATTATATGACATTAGAATTTATTTTAGAATCAAATATCTCGGATGAGGCTATGTGGGTGCGTCACTGTAAAATGTAATCTGTATAGTTGGAAAATTGTGTCATGTGACTTGATGGTTGTTTATTTTCTCATTTTGACACAACAGTAAAATTTCATTGGCTTTTTCTTTCTGTGATTTAACTTTGGCTGCAATATCAACTTCTCTTTACTCTAGAAGGGATTAGAAGTAAATACCTTCACCATTATGGTACAGCTAACAACATACAGCAACTATCGAAACAACAAATGCAAGTAAGGAAGGTGGGTAAAAAAAGAAAAAGAAGAAAAAAGTTTTGGGGCTCACCTAGCTTAATGCTCATTTGACTCTTCAGGACCGTCTCTGTCTCATCCAGCCATCCACCACCATGGCCCCCTTCACGGAACCGCTGCAGAATGACGCCATTGCGTAACAAGAGAATCAGAATTCGCAGAGCCAAAATCACAGTTGTTTGGTGAAGATGGTTCTGCATAAAAAGCAGCAGCCAATCAAAGCCGAGGCCCTTATCAATTTCCTCAGCAATTCTGTAAAAAGGAGAAAAATAGGCAAAATATATATAAATCCTTAATTTGACAAAAAAAAAGTTAAAAATGCAAAAAAAAAATAAGAGTTGGGTTTATGACATATGAAGTCTCTTTCTCTCCCTTTTTATTTATATATATAAAACTTAAATGCAATATCACTTGTTATCTATTGTCTTCCTGATTAGTCTTTTCTCTTCCCGCTCATTATTAATGTTTCTGTTCCTAATTCTTCCACACACTGTAACCCCTTGTATTTTAGTGGCTTTACTGCATTGCATGTGGTGATACTGATAAAAAAGAATATATATATATATATATATATATATATATATATATATATATATATATGTGAAAAGTGTATATAAATAAATATATATATGTATAATTATATATTATATGTGCGGTACTTATTAGAAAGCGCTCAATATCAGAGATATATATATATATATATATATATATATATATATATATATATATTCTGTTTATATGTTATTTCAAATGAATTCTAATTAAGCAATGCTCAGAGGTGTAACATGAGCCTCCTTGATAGGCATGTGGTGGTATGTCCCATATAATCATTCATGAATTATGTTGATCAGGAATGCAGTTCCTTAAAGGACATGTGAATTCATAATATCAGTTCTCTGTAATTTAGATCATGCAGGTGAATTGTTATTGACAATAAGCTTAATTGTTTTAAATTTTTTATAGTAGATAATTTAATTTTCTTGTTCTGATCAACTGGGGTTGTGTATTTCTTTATTATATATAAGTGTAATGATGCAAAAGGCGATTATCTCCCTTTGGTGGAGAAAAGCCCATGGATCATGTGACAATCGCTTAGTGATGTAACTCTATACAGTGATGAAAGCACCAGTCAAATTCAATTTTGTTTATAGCAACTAAACCAAAAAGTTGCTTTCTTTATCCCTGGTTCCCCATAGCCTGGGCAGCGGCTAAATCTGCCTTTCCAGCAGCTTACAAGTCCATGGTGCTGCTTCCCTTTGGGAATATATCTTTCGCAGATACATAAAGAAACTCCAGCTCACAGTCCTCAGTTGGGAAAACCCAAGACTAGCCGTTTCCTGTTCATAGACTATATCCTGCTATGGAACATAGATGTATCTGGCCCGTTTGAATCTGGAGTCATATACATGGCTTTTCCAGATACAGAAGTATCTCCATATTATATGTAGGACCCTTCCTTTTTGTTTTCTCCTTACACTCAGCTTTATGATATATTTCTCTGAGTGGAGCATGTGTAGATATAGTTTTGTGAATGTCTTAGTGGTATAAAAGTCCCTCTGAGAACAAAGCATGTTTGTCATTCCTTTTACTTTCAGACATTTTGTTCCGTCAGTGAACTACAGTATTATTATATAAGATATAATAATGTCCATAATATGGGAATTACAAATGGGAGAATAAAGCCTTTCTTTCATAGCTCTCTCCCATTATGTCAGACGATTATGAGGTCTCAATCCTTGAATGCAAACCTTCCTAGCAATGGTGTCATGATAAAGATACTAAGTGTGCTTGATCTACTGTGAGCATCTAAGTTGGGTGTCAGGAAGAGAATCCGGCCTTGTAAAACCTTGCCTGAAATCATAATGACAAAGTTCCTCTGTCAGGCAAGATCCACCTTGCTTTGTGTGAGATTAATCCTGGCCCCATTTCAACAAAAAAAAAAAAAAAAAAAAAAAAAACATGGCTATGTATGTATGATCAAAGTTCATAATGACGTTTTTGTTTGAGCAATTTCCTGATTCAGTCCAAAACATTATGAACTCTAGTTAATTTCTTTGTAAACTTCATATGAATGAACTGATTGCTTATATGTACACTGAAAAAGTATAATAAAAAATATGTTCAATATTTTCTTTTTGTGTTTAAGGGATGTAATGGCTACAGCATCTCATATCGAAGACAAACAGTTTGCTAAAGGTATTGGCTGAATACGAGGTGGCAAAAAGAAAGCAGAAGACTAAAAGAGAACTTACACATAATTGTATCCACTGGAACCCTGTCCCAGTAATTTTAGAAGAATTTCCAAGCAGGTGTTCCGTAATCTGATATTATGAGATGATGGCGTATCACATGACTGAAAGCCATCTGAAAACAAACAAAAAAAAAAGGAGATACATTATATACTCAAGTTTTGTGTGAGTTTTATGATTCTTTTTTTACATAAAAAAAATAGAAGGTTGCACTATACACAGCTAAAATTTTTCAAGAAGTTAAAAATCATGCATTTTTGGTAACAGGTTACACTATACACAGGATCAATATATTCATATTATTTAAGATCAATGTCAATCGTTATAGTCTGCCTTTTTAATTCTTGTTCTTTTATTGTTGAGAGAATATGAATAAAAAATATCCCTTTATTAATGAGAGAGAACAATAAAAGAACAGGAATTACAAATATGGTGGTGTAGCCAGGGCCACGGCCTGCTGACTTTGGTCAGGATCGATCCTGGTATTGGAGAACAAGCTGTCAGCCCACACTCATTGTAGCGTTTGACACAGCAGCTGGTCTTTAAGTTGACCTCTTCAACTATGACCTCTCTTATCCACGTTGTGATTTTTGATCTTAAGGAGGTCAAGCCGAATTATCACTGGGGTATCTCAACCAAGCTAAACCAAGGAGTTAAATACACGCAATCAAAATTGAAAATAAAATAGACGATGCCTGAATAAGTCACTAAATATTTATATCAAAATAAAAAAAAATATTTACAATTCTTTTTTTTTTCTTCTTTTCCCAACCTGTTTCTAATATTTGGCGACGGAACAAATATTTTGGCTAACTTCTCTAACGGTGGCCAGACTTGGCAACTGGATTTCTTCAAGTACTGTTGATTGTACTTTCAAGGATGGCACAAGGATATTGTTGGAGTATTTCTTCAGCAACAACTGTTTTTAACTTCAAGTACTGTTGTTTGTACTTTCAAGAACAGCACAAGGATATTGTCGGAGTCTTTCTTCTTCAGTAGACAATTATTATGATTATTATTATCATTAAGTTGGCAAAACAGCGTAATGGCAAAAAAATCTCTTAATGCAGACCACAACCTCAACTCCATCTACTTAGCCTCTGTGGGCACTTGTATTTATGGATGTCCCTTCCAATTGGTGTGGTATGGGCGCATAGGAATGTTTTATGCAAATCTCCTAAAATTCAACCAGTCTCCTTCTTTTGTTTTCTGTTTCACATTTCCAATTTTGGAAGATCCCCTCCTCTTTCGGGAGGAGCCATTATACGATGTCAGCCTTCCTGATGTTATCTTCTGCCTTCACAATTGCTCATTCTGTTTTCACAATTATAATTTTTTCTTAGGGAAATTTTGACTGACAATTTTCTCAGCATGTAGACATCGGACACCTTTCAACAGATGACTTTAACCTCTGGCCCCTGACTCCTGCACCTGTCCGCTGTCTCGTGCCAGGCAGCAATAATAGTATTTTGTATTTTTTTTCCAACAAAATTTGTACATCTGTTCTCAATATCCTGGGAAAAGGAACCCCTTTCTGACAAAAAAAATAAAATTGTTTTCTTTAACACCTTTCATCTGTATGCCATGTTAAATATTGTTACACAAAGACAGAATATAATTGAATATTGAAATTTAAAAGTGTTTCTTGAGATAACAGATTTGGTAAAAACAAAAATTACTTGGGTCAAAGCCTACCTAGATGTTCCTCAGGGCTATCAGGCTCACTGGTTACTGTACTTGAGCCATTGAGATTGATTGCCTTCTCACTGGCGGAAAACGGGGGAATGGTGGACACGAGGAACTGTCCCAACCTGAAAATAAAAACACAATGATTTACCTTCAATTCCAACAACGATCATACTTCAAAGTATTGTACAAATTAAAGACACTTGATATTACATTATTGCCTTTTCAGAATTGCCTGTATTAAAGAAAAGAAAAATTCAGGATTGATGAGAGACAAATGGCCAGTACAAAGTTGCTCATATGAATGGCCTCATGATCCTCATTCGACACAAGGTTGACAGCAGCAATATCCACATCTAGAGGGATCAATTTTGTTTCAAATTTTTTGTTTCAGGTTTTAGGGAATTCCATTTTTTTTCCATTTTCAGTATAGATTTTTGATTTTGCCTCATTATAATACTTAGTGAGAAAAGGCTAACAATATATAAATGTTATTAAAACGAGAAAATAATAGGAAGATGAAAAATTTTGCTAACTGGAATATCCACCCATTGAATAAGTTGCTCCAGTTTCATAGGGTTTTGTACCTCATACTTCATCCCTTAATCTAACTTGATGAGTTTCTGGGACAGTCCTTTTAAAGAGTTCTATGATTCTAAATAAAAATTAAGTGAAAGTGGTAAAACCTACAGAAAAGTAGCACTACAAAATCGTCTCAAAACAAAAACTACGTTATCGTTTGCTGACTTTATTAAAAATTATTAAATGAAATCTTGGAAAAAAAAGTTTAATTTGTAAAATTTGGCTTCTGAAATAAAATGCCTCTCATGTCTGTCATCATGTAATATGAAAACCAAAGGACAAAACAAAAAGACAAAATCTCCCTCCCACCATTACCACCAAATATTTTTCTTTTTATTAAATCAAACCAACTTTATAAAACTTAGTTCCTAAATACTGTAAACTGTAGGGAGACCGTAGATAAGGGGGGTTGTATTAAAAGATTACGGACTTTATCCTTTGATGTCTGTCGGATGAATGAATTATGAAAGGCAAACATTGTAACAAAATAAAATGGCAGTTGAAATCTCATTGTTAGAAAAAAATTTCTATTTCAAAAATCGCCATTTCCGTTTCAATGGTCAGTCCGTTTTTCCATTTTCAAGGAAAATAAGCCCCTCTATATATCTATATAGGGACATTACATTTCAAAGTCAAAACTAATGATGTTCTATCATCACAGAGGGGACCTTGGTTTTTTGCTTTTTTGTAATGAATGGAGTTTCCTCAGGCTCTGTGCCGACAGAGACTATTTGGACTTAAGCTAAACCCTGACTTCAAGTGGAACTTGTACATATGATCAATCATTAAAGATGCTAGGAAAATGGCCGATTAAATGCTCCATTAAATTCCAGACGCCTCCCCTCTACCTTCATAAGAGCCAGATCAAACCAAAAATGGAGTACTGGTACCATATTGTTGTAGCATACCTACGGACAATAATTCACATCAATACAGTAGTAAATAGTGTATGTTGGTCTGCAGTTGGAGATTCATTGTGGAATTCACTTGACTCACTTCTAGCAGTTGACTACTTCTTCTACACTCTGCTGGCAAATCTTATACGTGTTGTCCTTGTCCTAAATATTATCATTCATTACCAACCTTCATGGGATTATTCTATTCAGTAACCTTCCCTAGATTAGAACACTATGTAACACAGTCTGTACCTTATCTATCTGCCTCGTTGTGTTCGTTATCTGTCTATCTCTCTCAGTCTGTTCATTATCTCTCTATCTATCTCTCTCAGTCTGTTCATTATCTCTCTATCTATCTATCTCAGTCTGTTTCATTATCTCTATCTATCTCTCTCAGTCTGTTCATTATCTCTCTATCTATCTCTCTCAGTCTGTTCATTATCTCTCTATCTATCTCTCTCAGTCTGTTCATTATCTCTCTATCTATCTCTCTCAGTCTGTTCATTATCTCTCTATCTATCTCTCTCAGTCTGTTCATTATCTCTCTATCTATCTATCTCAGTCTGTTCATTATCTCTCTATCTATCTCTCTCAGTCTGTTCATTATCTCTCTATCTATCTCTCTCAGTCTGTTCATTATCTCTCTATCTATCTCTCTCAGTCTGTTCATTATCTATCTGTTGTAGCATACCTGTGGACTACAATGGGTATGTCCACATTCACATAAATACAGTAGTGAATACTGTATGTTGGTCTGCAATTAGAGGTTCATCGTGGAATTCACTTGACTCACTTCTAGCAGTTGACTACTTCTTCTACGCTCTGCTGGCAAATCTTATATGTGTTGTACTTGTCCTAAGTATTATCATTCATTACCAACCTTCATATGATTATTTTATTCAGTAACATTCCCTATGTTATAACATATATATAGGCAGGAGCTGCACAGTCTTCACTTTCCAATCTTGATAGAGTTGAAAAGCCTCATCACAGCATTGTGGGTGAGGAATTATTTTTCACGTTAATATCCTATTTCCACAGATGAATCATTGCAAGTCTCTCATTACTTTATCATTATTTCCATGGAAAGTGCTCAGATGAACTACATTCTGTGGTTCCACCAGTTCTAACCTTCATGACTAAAACCCACCATGCCACGCACATTGCAGCAAATCTCTCTCATTCCCTTCATATTCCATTGGTGAGATGTAAGTTCCACTTGAACAGCTAATTCCCATGATCAGATGCTTTGTGGAACAAACTCCCAAGAGGATGCTTCATCAATCCCTACAATTTTAACCTGTTCAAGTCTAGGGTTAATTGTTATCTTCTACACATATCCATATAAACTCTGCCTCTGTAACCCTGTATCTCTTATTATTTTGTACACGGTGAACATTATTGTAAAAAAACAGCTTGTTTGGCATCTCAATCCATCTTTCTTTGGACACAAAAAGTGTAATATGTAAACTAAGCATATTACTTTATTCCAAAGGGTAGGATTTCATTCCAATTCAAGACCATAATTTCTATTTTGGAAAGGCTTAGCTTAAGGCCCAATATGTCAGCTGCCTCTTTTGACAAAGCTATATGTCTAGCCCAGGAGAGGGCAAACTTTTCAGTGCAAAGGCCACATTCAAAAATTCAAAATTTTATTAGGCCACATAGTATTGTAACCCAAAATAATTCATATTTAAAATAGACAAAAAAAGGCTTTTAAAGAAAAAAAAAAAATGAAATTAATTTTTAGTAATTAATATTTTAAAATATTAGTAAGAATTGTTTTTTATTTCTTTACACAGAGTTAATTTGTTTTTCAAATAAATGTTTTCTACTTTATAATATTAATTAATAAAAATATTTTTTTTCTTAAAACAATGTTATTTTATCTTTCAAATGTGTTTCATGTAAATCTTCAACTTAAAAATACTTATTAATATTTTTTTCTTTAAAGTTCTTTATTTAAACTGAGTTACTTTGTCTTTCAAATAAATGTGTCTCATGTGAATTTTCTACATTACTTTAAAATATTAATTACTGAATTGAATATTGCTGAACGATTTGGCTAAAGCAGGGGAGAGCAAAAAGTAGTTTGCTCACCCCTGCTTTAGCCAAATCGTTCAGCTCTCCTTGTGTGAAAAGAGCTTCACTTTTACAGTCTGAAAATCTCCCCAAAACAAATAAATAATACAACTGCCGTTGCTGCTGTCAGAAGATTCATCCATTGCTTCTGCAATATTCATAATGTCATCATCTTCATCAAGATCAGGCAAGTGGGGCATGGTAATATTTTGGTGGGGTATGCGTAGGATGTGCACCCCTTGGTGCCAACAGAATACCACACCTCTATACCAACAGAATAAAGGGGCAATTCAAGAATGAGTTATTAACAGCAAATTGTTTTCTTGTGAGTCAGAGAGTGTTAATGTGTGTTACGATGCATATACAGTATGCATACATAAAACTAATTTGTGTATATGTACATACGCGAGTAATTGGCATGCATGTAAGAATTAAATATTACATGGAGGGAGCATCAGAATTTTAGAAATACCAAAGTGGGTCATGGCCCAAAACTGGTTGGGAATTACTTGTTTAGAGCTGTCAATAAATAAACACTATTCAGCTGGATTTTATTTAGGCAGTTTCCATTGCTAAAAAAATTGTGGCCACAGCTCTTAAGGTTGTGGTTTTTGAAACAAGAAGGTTTTTATGGGATGGAGTTGCTAGCCCCATAAGCAACTGGTTTTGAATTCAAAGTATGATTTTATGATATTTTTTTCTTTTCAAATCTTTTCACCCTAAGCAAGGTAAT